AATGGGGAAAGTGAAAATTCATGAGATTTAATAAATTGAGGAGTTGTTTGGTTGACACAAAAAAACAAAAATGAGGGAAATGGAAATTCATGTGAATTTCAACTTTCTACAAAATAAGGGAAATAAATTACCTAGCCCCCCTAGGTCAATCAAAATTCATGGGATTTCTAAATTTCCCACATTGCCAACCAAACAAATTAAGGAAATTCCTAAGAATTTCATTAGGGAAATAACTTCCCATGAATTGCAATTTTCTATGGGAATTTAATTTGCATGTCAACCAAACAAGACCTTAATATTGAATTGACGTTACTTAAATGACATAGTAATGGAAACATGAATATCATCTTTCTCATTTTCTATATTCCTCACTCCTGTAATTGGTAAGATTCGTAGGCTAGCTAATTATGATTGTAGCATGTTCTATTTTTAGGTAAAGTTTTGTCCGAAACAAGTTGCTTGGATCTACTGCCTGCCTATTTGTTTTATAGCATACCTCTTTCACTTTTTATGCTAAAAATGGTATTAGTGTGAACTTAATTAAGTACTCATTTTGTACCAAAATGTCCAATTTACTTTATTGATAGTAGTATTTATAATTTATAATTTTCTATTTTTAGTTCATATTATGTTTCAAACAAGTTGTTTGGATCTATAGCATGCAAACATGCACTTATTTTACTGTATCTACAAAAATGTCTCATTGGGTAGGTAGCCGTATTCCACTTTTGATTTTGATTACTATTGAGCCCATGAATAAATTCACATGTGACTGAAAGTGTTGTTCTACATTAACAAAGTGTAAAAGTGTTGGGAAGTGTATCCCACATTGAAGAAATATGAAAGTCGTTTCCACTTTATAAGGTTAAGAGGCTACTCCCTTCATTACCATATGGTTTTCAGGTGGAACTTCCTTGATTGGTCATATAAAGTGGGCACTCGTAGCGGGTGTGGCCTAGGCCCCGTCTATCAATTACATTTTAGATGCATCACTTTCCATTTTACAACATCAAATTGAAGTATACTTCTCATTATCTCATGTATGCTAACTAGCTTTTGGTTTTGGAGAAAATATATACTTGTAAGATTTTGTCAAAATGACTTTTTGTTTTAATACTATTGTTAGTTAAATATCCTAATAAATTTATGTATTGTAAACATTTATCAATCTTTAATTTGCATACAATAAATTTATCAATAGAAAATTCTCTATAACATAAAAAGAAATATATGACATAAGTTGCCGCTTTTAAAATTTGACTTATAGAGATTATAAATTATTAATAAATAAATAAATAAATAAGTGGACACATTTTATAAGTCCATGTAAAAAAGCTACTATAAAAGTGAGTTCCAATTTAAGTAAACAATAAGTAAAATATATACTTCAAAGAGTATCACAATCAATATATATCAACGTTAAAATTAAAAGATAATCCACCCAAGAATCACGAACTATAAAAAATAACAAAACAACACCTAGATTTTCTATCACATAAAAACCCATATATATTTTTTTATTTATTGAAATTTGATAATTAAGAAAAATACAGCTTTATGCTTAATTTTTCTATAACAGATTTTAATGACATAAACTAAAGTACGAGTACAAGTTATTGACAATATGAGATTTGTATATCACATGTAAGAGGTTTTATTGATATTTCTTATAATATACTCCCTCTATCCTTATTTTTTTGGCCCATTTGACTGTGCGCGGTCTTCCAGACGCGTCTTAAAACATCTAGATCTTTATTTTCATATACGTAAAAATTATAAAAACATGATATTAATAAAATATACAATGAGACGAATCTAACAAGACCACTCATGACTATATTATCTTTTATAGATTAACGGTAAATTATGGTCAAAGTTTTCAAAATTTGATTCAAAAAATAGCAATGGAGCAAAAATAAAGGGACAGGGGGAGTATATTATAAGAAATATCAATAAAACAACCTAATTACTCTATTTTTAAATATATTGACAAAGATTATAATGAACATATATTCATAAATTTGACATTTACTCTATTTTTTTCTTTAATTAGTTCACTTTAGGTTTAATAAAATTTCAAAATTGAAAATCGGGATTAAAACACAACCTAATTACTAGTTCACTTTACCAATATAATAAGCTCAATTGTGTTGAATTATAATTCGATATAGTTAAAAAAATTATTGTTATTATTATTATTATTATTATTATTATTATTATTATAGCTAAGTTACAGTAACCAATTTTAATAAACTTAATAAATTGATAGATTAAGGGTCTATTCTGTTCGTCTTATTTTCACTTATTTCAGGTGTAATAAGTTCAGTTAAGGAAAAATAAGTTTTGATAAGGGTTACCTAAGTATAAATTACTAGTAAAATAAGTTTTAATAAGGTCTAATAAATTTAAATAAATTCAAATAAAATAAGATAAATTCAGATAAGTAAAATCAAGTGAATAAAACACACCCTAAAACAATACTCTACAATATAAGCAAACATTGTTGCGTAGCCATGTCATACAACCTTCTAAAGTTCCAATCAAACATTAGTAAGAAGAAGTCAAAACGTGTTAAAACGTTTTTTTTACTATTAAATCGTCGGCATAATGAGCTAAGCAAAACACCATTTTAATTTTTTAATACACGGGTTCACATCCAAGTAAACGCAATCATTAACGCCTTTTCCTTTTTATATTTATCACCTTATTTACACAACATAAAAATATAATCTTTGGAAAAACTTGACACCAACAAAGTTTGAACCCTTCCCCTTTGCAAACTTTCTAATTAGTACATACTTGTATATAATTAACTCAAATTAATTTAAGCATACTTCATTTTATTGATTCTCTATTATATTTATTGTTTAAAGTTATTGATTTTTACGAATTAAAACTTAATTCTACTGAACTAAAATTATTATTTTTACAGAATATTACTCCCTCCGTTTTTAAATACTTGCTCCATTTCTCCATGCGCGGAGTTTTAGGAGAAATTGAAGAAAGTAATAAAATATGGAGGTAGTGGGGTTGGTAGAAGAATAAAAAATTGTAAAAAGCAAAAATAGTTGATTGAATTGGAGGAAAGAGAATATGAAATTAATAAAATATAATTTATGTTGGTTCCACTAGTTGAGAGAAATGAATTAAATATTATAAAAAATTTCAAATAAGGAAATGGAGCAAGTGTTTAAAAACGACTAGAAATGAAAAGTGGAGCAAGTATTTAACAACGGAGGGAGTATTATTTTAAGGAGTATCTTGATTTTTCAAACAGTCACAATGTCTAATTTGTATGAGTTAGAAGAGTTACAACTTATTATAAAGCGTGTTATTTTAATTTATTAAACAAGTTACAAAAGTTTTTGCATACATCGGGTGTACAATAAATTTATTGTACATTCGGTTAATGTAAACCAAAAGTCACTCATATTATCCCAAAAGTTACCCTTGATTGGTCCTATAAAAGCTACCCTTATTATCCAGCTTCTTTTATTCTCACCAAATTACTTTAAACTATCAAAAGTTACCCTTATTACCCAGCTACTTTTATTCACACAAAATTACCCTTAAACCATCAAAAGTTATCCATGTTATCTAGTTACTATTATTCTCACAAAATTACCCTTAAATTATCAAAAGTTAACCATATTACCCAGTTACTATTATTCTCACAAAATTACCCTTAAACTATTAAAAGTTACCCATATTACCCAATTACTTTATTTTATTCTCGCAAAATTACACTCAAACAATAAAAAATTGCCCATAAACTATCAAAAGTTATCCATAATGTCACAAAAGTTACCCATATCTCTTTCCTTTTTCTTCTTGTCATACAGTAAATTATTGTAGACCGGGTTTTTTAAAACATTTATTTTAAGCGAGTTTGTTTTGCAACATCTTACAAATTAATTCTTTTCGAGTTTGGGTGCATACTATTTATTTTCACTTTTCATAACTTAACTGAATTTAATTAAACTTATTAAAACTTATTTTAGTTGTAATTTGTATTTGGTAACCTTATCAAAACTTATTTTTCCTGAACTTATCTTACTTAAACTTAAATGAGCTTATCTAATCTTATTAGACCTAAAACAAGTGAATTATTTTTATTTATTTTTTTGAAATTTTTGAAGGAAAAAAAAAGTGAAAATAAGGTGATCATATTAGACCCTTATTAGATAGACTTTTTTTTTATTATTATTATTATTATTTTTTTTTAACTACTATGAAATTGAACTTAAATTAGAGCTAGCAAATGTGTCATGTGGGGTTGAATTTGTATTCATGTCAAAGATAAAAGGGTTGGAAAACATCAACACTAATCCGACTCGGGTAATTAAGCAGGTAAAATGATCAGAAACCATTGACACTAACCCCTTATTCGTGTCTAATTCCTGTCATACTGTGTTGTCACGTTGCATATAATATAGAGTTGGCCTTGTTCTAACGGTTTAACATTAATTACTACGTATATTATTAATTATTTTTCTTAAGCAGGCTGAATTATGTCGAATCCGTGTTGGGAATCTCAATACGTATTTCACCTATTTGAATTGACATGTCATTCATGTTGACCCATTCAATTAAACCGGTCATAAACCATTAACATTAATTCGTATTTTAAACTCTTTTTCACATTCAGATCGTATTATGTTATCATGTAATGTCATCTTTTATCATACCTATTTTAATATTAATATACCTCGTGAACTATTATTAGAATGATAAAGAAAATAGAGTATTTGATTATTAGGGTTACGTTATAGTCAATAGTAAATCATTTAGAAAGAAATGATAATTGTCAAGACTTGAGTATTATCTTCACCAAAATAATTTTCTAAAAAAACTTGAATAAATCAATAATATGAGGAGGGTATTTTTATTTTTTATTTTTTATTTTAAAAAAAGGAAAATATCCTGAAATATTAAATTAGAGGTTTTGGGCATAATTATGTGGTACACGTAGTATCACAGTAGTCGCCGTAGTTTTCTCTCTCTATCTCAGCATAGTCTGTCTTCTCTCTCCAATGATCTGTTCTCTTCTCTAGTTCTCTTCCTTTGTTTTTCTCTCTCCTCAAAAAAGCCTCTTTTTGAATTTCTCTGCTACTCGGATCTCTCCTCTCTCTTTCTCTCTCCGCCAATTTCCCAACTCACTCACAAATTCATTCTCGAAGCTTCCATTACTCCCATTCAATTCAATTCAATTCAATTTTTGTAAATTAAATTATGTTTTTGTTTTGTTTTTGCTAGAATTTTAATTTGTGATTTGATTGGAATAATAATGTTTGAATTCGTCGAGTAAATTGATTGAGAATCGACGATAAAGAGTGTTTTGAGTTGTGTGTTTGGTTAATTCAATTGTATGCTCAACTGAGTTGACCCGGGCTGAGTCGGCTCGGGATCGGAAGTAGTAGTAGTAGTAGTCATGGGTTCTGAAACTAACAACAGCAATAGCAATAGCAACAGCAGTAGCAGCAACAGCAACGAAAACAATAGCAACGGTGGCGATGATTGCAGCAACGCCGAAAAAACGGCGTTGATTGGTGCTGGAAATACTGGAATTGATGAACAGCAATTGGAGACGACTTCTTCACATTATTTAGCGAAATTCAAACTCTATGAAACTCGCGCGGTATTGATTTTGACTTTTTTTTTTTTAATTTACCATTGATCCATTGCTTATGTAAAATTGATCGTGGTTTGATTGCTTGTTGATTGTATGATTGCTTGTTTCGAGTTCGATTTTGATTTTTGGAAGTGATGGTTTGGTAATTTGAGATAATCAGCATCTACGTATTTATGGTAACGGTGTGAAAATGAATTTATTGTTGGTTAGGATTTTATCGATTTTGTAGGTATGAATTTTGAATTTGAGTGTGGTGAATCGGTGATACAGAGGAAGTATTGATTTCAATTATTGCTTGTTGATTGTATGAATTTTTGGCTGTATAGAATTTTAGTCCTACCATCATATGCTGAGTGTTTTGTTCTAGATTAGGGATGAAGTTGATCTTCCTTTTTGTTTTACGTGTGTCTTATCCTCGAATTTGCGATAAATTAATGATGATGTGACCTTTTATAGCTCAACCTGTTGCCTTTGTTTGATTGTCAATTCTGCTTATAATGATTGCAATACAATGTCTTTAGGTCATTTGGCAGCAATGTTAAGTAATTTGCAGTTTTTCATTGAATGCACGAGGATGATCGAACAGATTCTTGTAATGAATTGAACTAAATCCAATCAGACTTAGCTTGGATATGAGGGATGGGGTTTATTGTTTTTTCAAATTTTTATGCCTTATTTCACAATCTTTACATGTTACCTTTTTTTGTTGTTGAGCAGAACTTTTACATGGTGGGAAGTGATAAAAGTAAGAGGTTCTGGAGGATACTCAAGATTGATAGATTAGCGTCTTCTAATCTCGTTGTTTTTGAAGATCCGACAGTATACTCTGCTCATGAGTGTTCAGTTATTCTGAAAAGGATAGATGAAGGAAATAAGCATGCTGGTGGATTGAAAATTGTCACCACATGTTATGGAATTGTGGGTGAGTATATTGCATGGTTTATGTTTGATGATCTTGTTTCATGAAGAAATGACTGAGTATTTTTGTTTTACTTTGGTATTCAGGTTTTGTGAAATTCTTGGGGCCGTATTATATGATTCTTATAACAGAGAGAAGGAAAGTGGGGAAAATTTGCGGCCATGCAATATATGCCGTGTCAAAGAGAAAAATGATTCAAATCCCTCATTCTCCTGCTCGATTTGATTCGATTAACTCTAAGAATGAAAAAAGGTCTTTTGTCTATTCTGCATGTAAATGTAAAATGTACCTTATTCTTGTAAGAGACGCATATTCTATCAGAATCGTGCTCTTATCTTTTTGTTGTTGTCATTCCCCTGTCTCTTTTTTTGACATATTGTCTAGTCTTCTAGTATGTATATTGGTGTATTTTGCTTACAAACTTCATTTTATATGGAGGTGCAAGCTCTATTTTCATTTGGTTAGTCTTTGATGGTTATTCTATAGCTAGTGTGGTAGTGTCGTTTCATTGTTTGTATAATATTCGTGTAAAGTATAATCATTTGCATTCTATTATTAAACATACTAGACAATGTTGTTATTAGATGCCTTTCCTATAGACTGCAAGTTGTTATCCAGAACATGCAGAGGGCAAAGTTCATTGATCTTTTGATCTTAAGATAACTTGTAGAGTGATACAAGGTATTGTCAGGTTGCACAAGGAGACACAGTTTCTTCCCGATTAATGTTGTCTTTTTTGTTGTGGATTATTGTTTCATTGAATGTCTCTCCCTTTTTATTCTCCTTTATCCCTTATTATTATTATTTTTCTCTATATATATTCATCTGTTTTGCATTTTTTCTTTGTTGCTAAATTCATTAGATACAAGAAGCTCTTAGGCACAGTGGATATTACAAAGGACTTCTTTTTCAGCTACTCCTACCGTATCATGCATAGTCTCCAAAAGAATTTATGTGATGAGCAGAAAAAAATACTTCCATATGAAACAATGTTTGTTTGGAATGCATATTTGACTCGGGAAATCCGGACTCTTCTTGGGAATAGTGTTTGGACAGTGGCATTGATACATGGCTTCTTCAAACAGGTATTTTAATTTAGTATCTTTGATTTCTTATCTTGTGTAAGCTTTCATAAATAATTGTTGCTTACCTGCTTGGCCGTTGAGATATACGCGAAGTAACTAGTAATGAACTAACCAAGTATATACTAATGGAGTGTGTAGTAGTTTCTTTGTCCTTATATTTCTCAGTGTTTTGTGTTTCCGTTTTTCTTTTGTTGCTTCTTTTCTTTAATATTATTGGCAGGAATTGTCTATAAGTCCCATTGGTCACTTGATAATATAATGGTATTCTTCCCTCTTTCATGGAGAATAGTGATTAGTGGCATCTACTACCATCTACTTCATTCTTATCATTCTTATAGAGGATATGCAAGTAAGATCAAGTTATTTCAAATGGTACTGACTATCGTGATTTTGTCAGGTCAAATTTCAAAGGTCTGACCGTACTGTCAATTTGACCCTAATTGCAAGAAGATCACGCCACTATGCTGGAACAAGGTATATATGTTTGTTTACTATTGGCAAATAACTTTAAAAGGCTGCTACTGTTAGTACATTTAAACATCCTTACCAATATATGCAAGTCACAACATCTTTAAATGTGCTAGTTTTGGAAATGTTTAACCTAGCATTTAATTTATTTCGTAATTTCAATAGTTAAAACCTTTAATCCATGTTTTCGAGGCCTTTCTTGTAACAACTTGAATTTCACGAAACTGTTATCAATAATATACTAAGTAGCTTATTGGAAGCTCTAATTACAAAAGTTAAGCCACTACACCTGAGCACTCTTCAAGATTAGATAACCCCACGATTTTTTCGATGAGAAATTTTTTTGCTTGATTTGGTGAGGTTATGCACTAAAATTTTCATCCAAATCCTGATCCTTACCACCTTTTTTCTATAGTTTGGGAGCATTGATAATAGATGTGTGTTTCTTTTCATTTCCTGGATAAAAATTCCTTTTTCTTTTGCTGACAGATTCTTGAAACGAGGTGTCAATGAGAAAGGTCGAGCCGCTAATGATGTGGAAACAGAGCAAATTGTTTATGAAGAGATCCCTAGTACATGCATGCCGGAAATCAGTTCAGTTGTGCAAATTAGGGGCTCAATTCCACTTCTTTGGTCTCAAGAGACTTCAAGAATGACTCTTAGACCTGACATCATATGTATGTTCGCTCAATACAGATATTTATTTTGTATGTTTTTCATGATAATTTATGTGACACAATTTTATCAACATAGTGTCAAAGGAGGACCCCTATTATGAAGCAACTCGACGACATTTTCAAAATCTTGTAGACAGATATGGAAATCCGATATTCATATTAAATCTCATTAAGGTGCGCCTTTACTTTTTTACTGTTTTTAGTTAAATTGCTTAATTTTTGTCAAATTTAGCTATTGATAGTATTCAGATGGTTGAAGTAATGGTGATTTACTTGCAGACTAAGGAAAAGAAACCTCGTGAATCTGTACTCCATTCAGAATTTGTTAAGGCAGTTGCTTCTATCAATAAAACTTTGGATAAGGATACTCGCTTGAAGTTTCGGACAGTGGATCTTACGAGACTATATAGCATGTAAGTTGACCTTTTCTCTCTTTCTTATTTCCCCAAATTTCAGATGGTTTGGAACATAGTATGAATGTATTTTCTGTGATGTGAATGAGGAAAAATATTGATCGGAAGTATGTACATTTCAGTAAAGGTGACAAGGTATTGATGCTCCTAAGTAGAGTTGCTGAGAATGCGTTGGATCAAACTGGATTCTTTTATTGCCAAGTGCCTTCGTTAATGAATTCAGAGTTGTCATCTGGCTTTTCTGATGCCACTACAGAGCATGTGAATTCAACTGACATTACAGAATATTCTGCTTCAAAGACTACAAGGTTCCAAAGTGGGGTGTTGAGGACTAACTGCATTGATTGTTTAGACCGTACAAATGCTGCACAATATGCATATGGTTTAATTGCTCTAGGCCATCAGTTACATGCAATTGGTATCAATCCCACCCCAATAATTGATCCCGATGACACTTTGGCTAAGATGTTAATGGGGCTTTATGAGGCCATGGGTGATACAATTGCGCTGCAGTATGGAGGATCTGCAGCGCACAATAAGGTAGGTTTCTTAACTTCATGACTGCCAATCTAAATGAAGTGTATTCTTGTGCTCCTAAAATGGAAAATTCTGTCTTTGTTTCATTAATAATTTATTATTTATCAGATCTAGAACTTGGCTTAAGTTTTAATTTTCTTTCATGAAGTTATTGAAATGTGTTATATTTTATACTTGGGGATTGTCAAAATTCTGTGTTTGTAATGAATAGTGAGATGGAAAATTATTATGTTGTTTGCTTTCTTCATTTGATAAGGATCTAGTAATCCTTTTTAATAGGGCAAACCCGAATCTAGTGTTTGTTATGATTAATGAGATGGAAGATTACAAGTGATTGGGAAAGAAAAATAAATCTAAATATGATTACAATCACCTAAGGATTCTAATATTGAGATCTTTATCAATACAATATATGCTTGAATCAGTTAAAACACAAAATTTAAGTAACACAATTTTATTTCTCATAAAGGTCTACTATAGAGATTGTCATAGTCTTACAACTTCTTTATGTCTCATACTTGTGATAATAAACCCCAAATTTATCAGGTGTAAAGCACGATGTCTAATTAAACAACTTGAAAACCAACTATACTATATGGCCCCTTGTTAACAAAATTAGAGCTCGCATATAAACCCATATTTTAAGCATAGTAAAATCATCACTCATAAAATCAGTATTCTTTTATACTTGTGAGCATCTTGTGATGTCTCCATTTCTTTTATTATGGATTATGTCACCATTACCTCCCATAAATTCAGTGTTCTTTTGTGATGTGATGCTAATAGATATTCTCGGATCGAAAAGGTCATTGGAAAGCAGCAATACAATCCCAAGAGTTTATTAGGACTCTACAGCGTTACTTGAACAATGCATACATGGATCCGGAAAAGCAAGATGCCATTAATCTGTAAGTTATTAATTTGAATATTACTATTGCGGTGTTTAAATTTTTCCTTATTCTAACTCTTCCCAAAGAAAGACTTCCTTAATTGGTAATAATTTAGGTTCTTTTTCAATCAGGTTCCTAGGTCACTTTCAACCAGAAGTGGGTAAACCTGCGTTATGGGAACTTGATTCAGATCAGCACTATAGTATTGGAAGACTCACCTCATCTTTGACAGATGATATTTCTGGGTATACCTTTTTTGCATCCTTACATTGGCTGTAAGATTACATTGATTTGCTCAAAAAGCGGTCTGAAGAGTTATCATCTAATACTCCGTATTAACAAAAGCAAAAACAAGTTTAGAAGTTAGAACATATTTGTAGTTGTATGATAAACTGACAATTTGGACAACAGGATAGGATTTACACAACTGTTGAATCAATTTAGTCATGTACATTGATAATGGATTGATAATCTTATATGCTGTTTAAGAGCATATTCATGGTGGGCTCTTACATAACAACCTAATGATCTTGGGGATATTTCATAATTGCTTATGGTCTAGTTTAGAGTGCCCAACTGTTTATCTGAGACACACAGAATGTTAGATGATCTCAATTATTGGCATTAAGATTCTGAAATATCATTGTCAAGGTGTTTACTCAATTAAGATAAAGATAGCCGTAACAGTTGAATTTGGTTCTAGGTTTTTGTACCTTCTCTATTTTTATTTTTTTCTTGCAACACCATTTTTCACACAATTGAAAATGGATTTTAGACCAAGTAAACGGACAAATTAATTAAATTATTTTTACCACAAGAAGAAAGTGTTAATTTGTTACGGTTTAAATTTTTTAGATTGCTTTGTCCGTTTACCTTATCTAATCACTTCCTCAAATAGCGTGCCAATGTCTTGCAAGTAAAATAAAAATGAAAAAACAGAGGAAGTATCATTCTATAGAATTTTAAGTCAAAACAGCTTTAGGGTTCTCACTCTTCTGTTACTTTTAGGTCATTTTTGAAAAGGTCTATGTCGGATGGAGTTCTTATGTATGAGAGCCCTTCGCCTACAACACCAGCTGAAGCAAGTAACTATCACCATACTTTACCTGACTTAAAAGAAGACAAGAGTGGTCTTTCAGATTCGACGCCTGAGATGCCAACTTGTGACGTCAGCGATGCTAATGTATCTTATACAAGGTAAAGCTATGGCTCTTTCTTACATCTGGTAATCTGAGGGTTTTTTTGGCGTTGTAGAATTTTAGCTAGCTACATCTATTATTCTGTTTGATTTATGCTTTTGCCTTTTGTAGTTTCAGTACCACATTAGTTTAGCCATAAATTAAACTGAATAGCTGTAGCGTGAATGGGGAGTTCTCTATATAGAAACAGATTACACTTTCAGCCCATGGAGATTGCTAAAATATGTGAATTTATCTTACACTTTCAATCAATTCCATTCAAATATTTTTCTTAAATCGTCCATTTGATTTAAGAAACACGATTTGAGCATTGAAATTGCTAGATGCTATTCACTGATTCAGTTGAGGTGCACAAATTTGTCATTGTTTAATTGCTGTGCAACATGGTTTTGAATCTCGGATGCGGTCACATAACCACTTTCGCGGGCAATGCAGCTGTTGCGGCCTAATTTCGGTCGTGATAAGCTCAAATCCTGAAAAATGTGTCCACGATGTGGTGATGTGGCCGAGATTTAATACCATGATATGCAACGTAATTGGATGTTTAAACGCGCATGATTTTGTTAATTTTTCGATAAAATACTTGTCAATATGACCAAGTTGATTATGTTTCCTAAATTATATTGTTGCTCTCTTTGATTCTGGTCTATATCTCTAGGTTCACTCCATCCATGTCAGCCCGTCGACTTTTCACAGATATGCCAGAGACCAAATATATGAGAGGTGAATGTAGTTGTTACATCGAACATGGAAGTGAATTTGATTGTTCAGATATTCTTGATATTGATTGGATTTCTTCATCGGGAAATTCATGTGAGGAGGACTCATATGATATGTAAGTCCCTTGAATTTCTTTCCCTGCATTTGAAATTTCCAAAAGCAATCTGTATGTGGTGTCGGTTATATTATTTGCTCTGTAGCCTAATGTTATTTTGATTTTTTTGAGCAATTTGTTTTTAGCCACTACATATATTTCAAAAAAAGGAGGAAATTTTAAATCTAAATAACCGCTGCGAGTTATGAACATTTTTAAAGCTCAACCATAACTTTAAATTGGTTTCTATGTGCATTCAGATCCTCACTTGTAAACTCTCCAGTTGGTGGTTCCCTGCATGGCAGTTCTGTAAATAATGCATCTCAGGTCAGTCTATGTTACATCCTTGTTTAAGCCTTTTCTGTTAACTAATTGTTATGCTGTATTTTCTAAAATAATTCTGGCTGATGACCTGTTGTCTGTACTGATTCCCTGTGTGCTGTTTTCCCATCTGTCATATGAGCAACTATCTGATTTTGGCTGGCTTGTCCTGTTTTTGTCTGAAAAATAGCTTATTGGGTGGATAAGATTTCATGTACTGATGATTCTGTTACCTGCAGGGGAGATTGCGAGATGCACCTAAAGCTGCAGATTTTCCTGATAGCTTCAAGCATTGGGTCGAGTTTGGATCAATCTTAGCTTAGTCTTTGCTACAACTGCACAGATTTTATCTCAAACATTTTTGAATCAACCCCTCCGAAGGATATGGGTTGTGCAAACAGAATAAGTATCAGAAGATGGAATGAAAAGGAAGAGGCCTTGGCACTAATCATACTATTATAATGGCACAACAAAGAAACTACCGAGAGTCGATATTGACAGCTAATTCAGCTAATTCTTTTACTGGAGGTCTTGTTATCTCCACACCAAATTAAGTTACAGTATAAATTATAATGCAGCAGTCATTATTCTTGTAAATATCTGAATTTTAACATATTTTTGCTAGTTGCACCAGCTACCTTTTGACATTCTAGGGTCTCTCCTGTTTCATTTCGTATATAGCTTTATCACCGTACATATTTGATCATTGGCGAATAAGTTGTTGCTCTTTCCTCCTATGCAATTAGTAGTATTATTTTTATCTGCAACTTGTTTTGTGTAATGTGAATAAGTTTTCTTGTTTCTCTTTTGTTTTCTGGCTAAAACTTTGAACCATTGATGCTCTAATATATGTCAAAATCTTTATCGTTTGATCTAACTATTTCTTTGTTTGCTAATTTGGTTAAGAATCTTCTATAGTAAGCGGTGGATAAAGCATCAAAGACTGGCTGATTCACTAACTTATGAATCGGATCGGAAGCAGCAGCAGCAGCTCTACCACTCTTCCCTATTCCCTCGGCCCTGAAAATGATTGTCGCAACTCGCAAGTCTGTGCTACTCAAAGGATATGACATAAAAATAGAACTTTTGATACCAGTATCATACATTCTTTTTACCATCTAGTTCAACTTAGGGCACCTGAATTTAGCAAAACTCTGTCTAATAAAAAAAATTTGGATTCATGACCTAGATCAAACCCCTTTAGATGCCTTTTGGGTGGAGATTCATTCATCTTTCTCTACCCTATTCCCTAGAAGATTGGCCGTTGAGGATGTTTTAAGGGTTTTGGTAGGGTGCCAAGTCTACTTTAACCATCTATTTACCCTATTTTATTTACGAAGTATTTTTTTAAAAAAAAACTGTATATAATGGGAGCATAAAATAATATTTCAATCAATTATTACTTCGTATGTGCGTGATGTCATTAGATTTTTATATGAATCCATTTAATATTCTTTGCAATTCACTTTTGGTAGAAATGTTTCAAATTAAAGATATTTAACTTTAAAGGTCGTATTTATATCGATATATAAAATTTTGGATTTAGAAGATACGGAGTAATCTTTAATTTATTTATACAGGAATGCAAAATATGAGGACGTTTTTCCGACTTTTGCACTCATACTAATACTTGTAGTATGATAGAAGAGTAGACACTTTATAAACTATTCATATATATGGCTCCATGAGTCTCTACTGGGGCACTTATAATATTTGCTCTTCGTGGATCGGCAAATAGCCTTATAATATTTGCACTTATAATATTTGTCTCTAGCTACCACATATTAAGATAGTTAATTGTCTTAACAACCAATAAATTTACTGATCATATCTTTCACTAGCTAACTAGCTATTTACAACAAATTTTAGATGTAATACTCTTATTTTAATGGATTGAGTGAGAGTATAAAGTCTCCCTTAAAAAATTATACGAAGTATCAAAAGTCACTCGTACATTATTTTATTTTATTTTTTTTGATAAAAATAAACAAATACTTACTATGGAGTTTAAGATCACAGGTGAGTTATTATTAAGCCATATCTTATACGAAGTACTACATTATCCTTTAATTTGTTACAAGATATCGTAGTATTTGCATGTTACACCCTTTTTTTATAGGTGAGATGAACCCCTTATATTATAGGAATATACGAAAATAAATACGGAGGGAAATAAGCCTAATTAACTACTTTTCATTCAGAAATTATTTTCAATCCATGATGAATATTGAGGGGTTGAATGTGATATTAATCCATATAATATATACGTATACATCTTCATGATTTAGTCACTAGATTTTCATAATTATCTAATATATGTCCATAAAAAGTGTATTCGTACTCAGTCCATAATTAGTGAATGTAAAATGTTACATCATCTTCAAGTAGTTTGGAGTTTCTTCAATCTAAACCAATTCCTATCATTTCCGAAGTGAAGGGGTTCATCAATTCACATGAAATATCCTCTTCATGTATTATACTAATGCTCCTAGTATTAATATAATATTATTGCATTAATTTAAAATTATTTGGCAAATGATTGAACTAATTTTAATAATAAGACAGAAGACTCATTCCATTGATGAAATCCATATATATACTAGAATGGGCAAGCAGTCATCAACTTATCAAAAATTATATATGTTATCTAATTCACTAGTTCAGCTTATCATAATAATCTAAACTTAATAACCATTTCTTTGTTAATTTAATATTCCTAAGTCTACTACTAATACATAATACAATTAACATGTAGCTTAGGCATAACGCGTGAGTTTCATAATTATTAAAATTTAATCTATCTTTTTATGTTAATTTCATTCTTTTTTTTTTCAAGAAGTTTTCATCAAATTATAAAAAGACCTATGATATTTTGTTAACGAGGACCGTATGAAACTTTAACATGTGGAAGATAGTTACTAGTTACTAGGACCGTACAAAATGTTATCAAAAATGTTTATATACAATTTGTTGTATAGTAGAGTAGTATTTAAAATTTTCATTTATAGCTAGTTGAAATTTTCAATTTTATCCCATTTAATTATTTACATTTCCCTTTTTTTTTTTTGACAAGTACATTTCCCATATTATTAGGCATAATGTCACTCTCTAATGATTATTTTTTGGTTAAATAATTCTAATTATCTTCTGCTTCCCAAAAATATAGGAATACAGATTATCCTAAATAAAAAAAAGATTACCACAACAATCAAAGGCATATACACTCCTAACCAATTTATTTTCACCTTCAACTACATATTCTTCTATCTTTGTCATATCAATGAAAAGATTCATAATCATCCTCTTCCATAAACCACAAAATACCTAAAACGACAACTTATTCCTCAAAACTTTTACATGTTATTTAGATCATTTATTTTCATCAAGCCGTCAATATAATTGTATGACTAAGTATAGATCAACTATCTTTACTTAAGTCATATCAATAATCGCATCTTAAATTGTCGAGTATTGTTGTATTAATTGATATGAACATTATTTCTTAACTAATAAGGTAAATAGTAATTAACCCAATAAACAACCTATAGTCGCAATAGAAAAAACCCAAAAAAAAATTACCCAGTAACAAACATCAACAAAAAATAGGGATTCAATCTTTACTGGCTATTGAGTACTAGGTCAACAGTAACACAGTACAGTAGTAACGACCTTTTGTCTTTAGAAAACAGAAAAAACTGAATGGTACTTTATTTTTTGGGGTACTGTACCTAGTTTTTGGGATTTTGGGTACATTTTGAAAATATCCAAAAAAAAAAAAAAAAAAAAAATTATTTAGAAAATAGAAAACAGCTTTAGTATAACTGAGGCTAGTTCAATTGTTTTTGGTGGGCGGCCTCTCCTCACTCTTTTTTGCTTTGATTCCGTCTCCTCCTTCCACCCCCTCTTTCTCCCTCCTCAGGTGCTCAACAACAATTCTATACTCTGACGCATCGATTCGACGTATATCATATCATCTTCGTATGTCTCGTTGATCAATTGCTTAGCGTTGATGTTTTTGTGTGAATTACATTTTCATCGATTAAATTCTGGAATTTGACGTCCTCATTGGTTTTATGTGGGGTTGTTTTCGGGTTTCCAGGCGCAGATAAATGGTTGGATCAGAGAGGGGTGAAGAAGAGGTGAATTATAGATTCCGTAGATTGGAAGAAATGGGGTCAGAAAATCAAAATATTGTGAATGGGTTAAACCAGATTGTTCTTGAACAAGGAGAGAGCAGCAATAGCTCTCCTCCTTATTATTTGGAAAAATTCACCCTTTACGAAACGTCAACGGTAAATTATTCTTTACTCTACTTTTACTACCTCCATTTTATAATCATCTTGTTTTAAGGTTCTGCATAATTCACATTATTGTAAATGGTAGATGATTTTATTTGAGAATATAATTGAGATAGAACATTTAGTTAAGTAATACTACCTCCACAAGTATTTTCTTTTTTTTTTTTTTAATTGAATTAGCCTGCTGTGATTAGGATCTTATTGTACCAAACTCAATAATGGGGTAGAATGCTAAACAATTAAACCTTGTGCTAATGTACTCTAAACGAATGTACTGAACATCTTTTTTAAAGAAAATTGTTGTTCTTTATATTATGCGAAATTGATTGTAAAATGTCCATAAGTGAATCGCATTGAAAATGTACGTGTACATTATTGAATGAATTAGGGAATTTTATAGTGAGTAAATTCAATTCAAGGTTCAGATTTTAGAATAATCTGATAGTGGCATTTTGATCTAATAAATCTTAGCCATGATTGTAAAATGTTTATGGCAACATTTTTTACATACTTTATTTCTTTCTTGTTTTATGGAATAGGATTTCTACATGGTTGGAAGAGATGCAAAAAGAGAGCATTGGAGAGTGTTAAAAATTGACAGATCCAAACCTTGTGAGCTTGTTTTCTGTGAAGATCCCAAAATTTATTCATATGAGGCATGCAAGAGGTTATTGGCCACCATAATTGGCCTCAAATGTATTACCGATTATTACGGAATTGTAGGTAAGTCAAAATCAATGCAAAAGAAATCAGTTTTTTTTTTTTTTTTTACATTTAAATCACTTCACATAATACCTTTCATCTTATATTATATTTTATCCCGTTCAGGTTTCATCAAATTTGTGAAATCTTATCATATCATTCTTATAACTGAGAGGAAAGAAGTTGGGAAGATTTGGGGTCATCCGATATATTCTATAACTAAATACAGGATGATTTCCATCTCTCAATCTACTGCTTTGACCTACATGTATAATTCTTCAAAAGAGAATAGGTAAATTGGTCATTTTATATACTAACTTCTATATTTTCTCTTTGCTTTGATTCCTATCATTCTAATAAGATGATACGATTCACCTATTTAATAGGTACAAGAAACTCTTGCAGCTGGTTGATATCAGGGATAATTTCTTCTTCAGTTACTCGTACCCTCTCATGCATAGGGTACAACATAATCTAAATAGTCAAGAAATGAGATTTTCCTATGATAACATGTTCGTTTGGAATGAATATTTAAGTTATCAAATTAGGGAGAGTATCAAATCTACTATTTGGACAGTTGCACTAATACATGGATTTTTCAAACAGGTAACAATAAATAGTACAATAATCCTATAAACAAAACTTCAAATCTCTAGTCATTATTTTGTTTCTTTATCGTCATTTTCAAACTTTCTATACTTTTCATATTAAGCCTCTCGATAATATACTATATACATTTGTATCAGGTTGAGTTGTGCACTAGTGGAAAGAATTTCATTTTAACCCTTATCGCTAGAAGGTCATGTCAATTTGCAGGCACCAGGTTAGTAGTGCATTCAAAATTTCACATTCTACCACTAAACCAACAACATTCTTCATGTCAATGACTTGGTTTCATGTATGTGTTTTCACCAATTGAGCTATCTGTATTTATTCATGCTAAAAACTTGGTTTGGAAAAAAGTTGTTAATTGAATAATGAACAAGAAAATTAAGAAAAATTGGTAAGGTATTGTGTCATTAATACATAAATGTCAAAAATTTGTGGGTATATATAATACTGGTAGAAATTTTAGTTTTGTTCAAAATGTGAGCAAATTTTTATGTGTAGGAATTTACCATTGAATTAATAACTAAACTGTTAATGCAGTAGAGTAGATATTTGTTTAGTAATCCTTTAAAAAAAATATAAGGGCTCATTACAAAAATGATTGTAGAGTTGGGCAGTGGGGGTCAGGCCTCTACCATGGCTTCACCCTTGCCCTTGCCCACCAAGTGTGCCATCCACATTCATTATTTCCAAATTGCCAATGACTTGGTTTTTGTTTTCAACAACTTTTGTGAGCGGCAATGTGGCCAGCTGACATACACCAATTAACTCTTAACCGACGATTAACCCCTGACCGACCGAGTAACCCCTAACCAATCGAGTAACCCCTATAACACTAACATAGTAACCCGTATAATGGTTGGCCACACGGTGTGGCTAGCCACGTATAAAAGTTTGTGGTTTGCTTTATATTGGGTCGTATATGTCACGACAAGACTTAATTTTTAGATTTTATGGCTCCTATATATTAGAGATTGTTCCCGCCTTCACAAAAATCTCTACTGATTTCATGTATTATATTTGTAACTTGCCACTTTAGTTCTCTTTGTTAATCACTAGATTGAAGGGCTAGCTTGCATGCACATCTTGATTGACATTTTTTTAATATCTTATTTTAATTTCTTCTCCCAATTTTGATTTTCTTTTTCTTATAATCTGGCCTAGGTATGAGAAAAGGGGTGTCAATGAAAAGGGTCAAGCTGCAAATGATGTCGAGGTTGAGCAGACAGTTTGGCCAATTATTAACAGCAAACGCCCAACTGAAATTACTTCAATTGTGCAAAATCGTGCTTCCATACCTCTTTGTTGGTCACAAAAGCCTTCATTGTTTAATCTAAAGCCTGATATCCTACGTAAGTTCAATTCCTATAACTTAAATTTTGGCTCATAATATTCAATAGTTTGACCAAAACTTCCTTCTATATGTAGTTTCAGAAGGCAACCACGTCTATGATGCAACACAACTTCATTTCAAAAATATGCGCCTTAGATATGGAGTGCCAATTATTATTCTGAATCTGATTAAGGTGCTTTGAGTATGACTCATATAGACATCTTGTATTTCTTGTTGCATGAGAATTATATATATTGTACTTATGATGGCTCTTGAATTGCAGTCGTCCAAAGAAACCCACCGTGAATATCTTTTGCATAAGAAATTCGAGGAAGCAGTGAATTTCGTCAATGCGGAGTTGGATGTTGAGGATCGGGTGGATTTTGTAAGCCTAGACCTCGATGCCGCCTTCCGAGAGTAATATTGCTTCCCTCTCTTTAATGTTTTGTAAGATGGCATTAATGTTGGAATATTTGCTTCAAATTGTTAGTGGTTAGTTAACTCCTAATGTATAGGAATATGCTCTACTAAGTATTAGTTTGCGTTAGTGGAGTCATAATAGTAGTGGGTTTGTTTAGTGGGTTAATGTTAGCATGATCAATGATCATGGGATCATGTTCCTTACTTATAGCTTAGTTATTTTGCAATATATATATGTTGTTATGTAGTACGTTTTTCAATGAATTGAATATATAAAAGCATTTCTTTCCCTTCTCTCATCTCTATTTATAATTTCTACAATTAAGTTATATTGATATAATGACAATCTTCACTTTATTTTGCAGTGAGAAAACCGATGAACTGAAAAAACTTCAAGGTTTAGTTGAAAATGCACTAAGTAAAACTGGAATCTTTTCTTATCAAATGGCTCAAAATGTAAACAATAAATCTTCACTTGACTCGTCATATGTCGGGTTAGTTCATGTGATCTATTATTTTGTATCCCACGGTAAAATTGATGAAATGTTGTGATGAATACTCGTGTAACCTAATAAGGGGGCGTTTGGTTCGCGGAATATAGGTATGAGGTATGGGTTTAGATGACTAAAACTCATACCATATGTTTGGTTGTCAAAAGTATGAATTTTAAACCCATACCTCAAACCCATGAATCAGAATTGGCTTTTGAAACCAGCTGGAGAGACTACTTTCATTTTTCATGTTTGTTTGCTTGTATTGACTGAGTTACACCGTTTGTGATGTAGGATCAACTCAAGTGATAGCAACAACATATGTAATAACCAGAAGGGGATCATAAGAGTAAATTGCCTCGATTCTTTAGATCGCACTAACTTTGCTCAATATGTGTATGGCTTGGTTTCGCTTGGTCATCAGCTCCATACTTTAGGAATAATTGAATCCCAAGTGATCAACATTGAAGACCCTTTAGCATGCGACTTGATGAGCCTTTATCAGGCCATGGGTGATGCCCTTTCTCGGCAATATGGTGGGTCTCCAGCGCACCATAAGGTATATATGCTTGGTTTTACCCTTATTGTTCTATCATTCTACTATATTACTCGACAAAAATAGCTGGTTAAGGTGAACATAGGCTATTAAACAAACTTGATCTAGCTACCTAAATATCAGTTTGATGTTGCAGTCTTGCAGATGTAAACTATAAAGGATAACATGCATCTATACTCGTACTTCATTATACCGAACTATAGTAAGGCATGTAGAATGAGCAATAAAAGTCACATAGGCTTTACTTTTTCATTATTCTTCAGTTTTCAGCGGCTGAGAAAATTACAACGTTGGATGGATTGCGTTTTGATGAAACTAATGGTTATCAAATTTCTTAATGTCTTCTAATTTAGTTTCTCATCTCATGTATATGCACCCGAGGATTGATAAATGTATATGTACACACGATATTCTGTTATGTTCCTTCTCCATTATGCATCTCTTTCTTAGGTTTTTTTCAGTAACATACCAATCTATATCTATGTTATATAATAGATATTCTCCAAGATCAGGGGTCAATACAAAATGGCATCGCAGTTTCAAGAGTTTATGAAAAGCATTCAGCGTCATTGCAGTAATTCTTTCACAGATGGTGCTAAGCAACATGCTATTGATTTGTAAGTAATTTTTGGATATCCGATCCCTGCAGACTAGCTTCATATGCTATAAGTTAGCAGAAGAAAAATTTATGCATATTGCTGTTTGCTCAGATTCTTGGGACATTATAAACCTGAATTTGAAGGTGGTGAATTGATTCCCTGCGAAACAAATTCAGATCAGATAGACAAGTGTGGATGGATGAATTACACCTACTTGCATAACATATCCAGGTCAAGTGTTGTATTTTTTTTTTTTAATCTATTGCAATACTAACAACGAACCATCTGCTATCATTACTAGGCTAATGTAGGACAGACTGCGTGTTCACATTATTAATCGCCATTGATATGTTAAACACGCATCGTGTAAGCTTTTTCTTTGTAGATTTACTTCCGAAAGATTTTTCCTTTCATTAAGTGTACTGATGCATAGCTATAAAAAACATTGGTAATCATAGTTTGTTAAAGGAAAAGACTGAATAGCTGTTTGCCAAGTAATTACGGAGTGTATAAGTATGTCCTGCTGGTCTAGAAATTTGTGGTTTGAAAGCAATGTGGTTGATTGAAGTTTTCGATTTAGTTGCAAACAATCAGGGAAATTGATGTCCACTGTGATCTGTAGGTGTAATCCATGCATCTATTCAGACTTCGACAGGCTATTGTTTGAAAGCAATGCTGACGAAGCTGGTCATCAATGCTTGACAGGACCACCTGGAAGTCCGCAGCATGAGTCGCAAGAAGGGTATGTTTGACAGAAATTCATGATAAAAAAAAAAAAGGATTTGAACCTGCTGCTGAGCTTAAGTGTGCTAAGTTCATATCATATTTGCAGGTTTCCTTTGGTGCAGTTTCCTGCTGGATCATAATGTGTCTAGTCTGAATCAAGAACCAGCGCTTGTTGAACTTTTAACCATTGAGGCCCTTTAAATTTTGTGAAAGCTTTGCAGAACGCAAATTCTTGACATTGCCCTGGTAGAAAGAGAGGAAAGCTTGGCAGAACGCAAAGATCTTGTCATTGCCCTGGTAGAAGAGAGGATCTATCTTCCTTTGAAGGAAGCAATTGTTTGGTGAAGTGTGGAGTGATATTCATCTTATGCAGGCATCTTTGTACCCTGGTTCCGCATACGCAGTTTGTAGTTCCGAATACAGAGAATTGAAGGTATAATAGAAATACAGAATAGAAACATCTCAGATTTTACGTACTCAGTATTATACATTTCATATCAAATACTCAAGTCACATTACTTGACTTATCAAAACACAAAAGATCTAAAGTCCAACTCTTGAGCAAATACCCGTAACTAATACAGTTGCTCAGCTCTGGCATCTGAATTAATCAGAAACCCAGATGCTAAGATGGCTTGCTTCACATTTCATACCCAAACAAACACTGAACAGTAGAGGCACACTTCAGGTTTCACGTACTGGTACAATAAATAGTAGAGCATTACATCGTCATTATTTTGGGCATCATTGTCTACTGCCCCTAAGGTTTATTGTGCCAACACATGGATTGCTCCTCCCCATGGATGAATACATGATCGCAACGTCATCATTACCCCAGAGAAGGGTTGAATCTTACAGAAAGATGCTATGGAGTATGAACGTCTTGAAAGTGCCAGTTATATCCAGAAGTTATGTTACAAGACAAGAGGAACACAGATGCTACATATTTTGAACTTTAGAAAATTAGAATTTGAATATTGTTTTTGCCATCTTTGCATACATTGACCGTTGTTCCTTGGATAAATTATACTGTCATACAGTAGATGTGTAGAGTTATGTCACTTCTTGATGCTTTATCATTTAATTAATTAAACCCTATTAAAAAAAATACCAAATACCCTTACGTTGTTCCAATACTTCCCAAAATGCCATAGAATAAGTTTGCTTCGGTGTAACTATATTAATGACATCCAAACAGCTTCATTTTACAATTTTTCTTGCAAAATAAAAACATTATAGAAACAATCAAACTATTAGAGACATCCAAACTCTACTATTGCACTTTGCACTCCTATTCCATACTATAATAAGGAGTACTTAATTCTATGTTCTCAGTCAAACTGTAAAAAACGACTAAAATTTTCACAAAATATAAAAAGTCAAGTGAGATGTCAAAAGGTTAGTCGTGTAGTTTTTTTAGTCTCACATTTATATAAATTATGTTTATACTTAAACTAAGAATCTAAGATATTGATGGTAAAGTATACAAAGTACATCTTGAATACCAATCAAACAAAACAGACGCTATATATTATAAAACGGAGATATATTATAAAAGGGAGGTAGTAGAAATATTCCATGCCAGGGGGCTTCGTAGAGCAATACAAACCTAAGGTGTATTTTGGTGCAGCCTGCCTATTGCCAGACACCAGTATTCAACTGGAGCAAAGTCTTCAAAAATAACAGGCACCATTTATAATTGAAAAGGAAGACTCAATCAGATTACATATGCCAAAGACATAACAAACAACTTTTGATCAATCACAAAAACCAGAAAGAGCACAAACTAAAATCAGTTGGGAGACTTGGACATGGACAGAATAGAATCACCAAAAGAGCATGTCCTTATAACAATCACTATGCAAAGAGCAAATTACTAAGCGATAACACGACATGGAACAAAGCTGAACATTGGAACAATAATATAACGCAGAGCACTATCTGTTGAAAATTATAGATCCCGTTAATTGGTCGAAAAATAAAACAAAAGATAAGAGGGTAAAACAAACAGAATTTGCCCTTAAACTAAGCATCTACATCTAAACTCAACTGAAAACTAAAGCTCCATTGTCTGGCTTTCCCAACAGTTTCTGAAACCAAAATTTCAAAACCCAAAAAGGCAAATCTTACTCCCAACCAGTGGCTGGTGGAGCGTCTGGGGTAACAATAGGAGCTCCAGGAGGTACAACAGCCTCTTCCCATCCATCACCGGCAGCTGCATAATAAACCATAAATCAATTCCTCCATAGTTGCATAAAATTCCCAAAAACAAGTAATACATGCAAAGTACAAAGAATTGAATCAATCATATATTCAAAGTATACAACAGTCCACAATTATTACACAGTACATGAACTGCTAGTAAGTTCATCTCTAAAAAATCAAGATAGTCAATTTTTATTTAAGCAAATTCAAAAAACAAATTTGTCTAATCTCTAAACAAGTGAAAATTTGAATTAACTGTATTACCTGGAACTGCAGCAGTCCAATCTGCAACAGGAGCAACAGGTGCAACTTCAGGGGCGGCACCCCATTCGGGAAGTGATACCCATTGATCAGAAGGAGCAAGAGCAGTCATTGCACCACCACCATATTCTATCTGTCCAAAATCTGCCACAGGAGCAACTTCTTCCTCTTCCTGCTCCTTGGTTTCTTCAGGTTCCCTGTAGAAAAATAGATCAACCTGCCCAGAACAGCCAAACAATGATTAACACATAGAGACAAGTAAAACCAGGGTAATCTCAAGACTAGATTCATGTTGCTGAAGAAAAGGGGCTTATGTACCATGACGTCCCATTGCTGTCCTGGGCGGAGGGTTCCGCGCATCTGCAACACCATACGAGCCAAGAGCCAGAATAAGCAACCAATGCTGTGTTTGCCTTTGTTGTTGGCAGGGATACCGATGTCCACGTAACGCATGGGAGAATCTGTGTCACAGAAGGCAATAGTGGGGATGTTTCCAAGGGCAGCTTCCTTAATAGGCTGTAAGACACAGAGTTCAGAGAATACAAGTTCAGAATATAATTCAATCAGTACATACAGATCACAACACATAAACCAAAACATAAAATCAAACAAAATTGAGATAATTCCGCAAATTACTTGATGATCAGTCCTGGGGTCGGTAAGGATCAACAGACGGGGCTCGCTGAAAGAGGTTTGAAGCTGGTTAGTGAATGTACCAGGAGTATGCCTGCCGGCAATGGCATGAGCTCCGGTGTGCTGAGCAAACTTGAGGACAGCCCTCTGACCATATGGTCTAGCAGATTGGACAATGATATCCTGTGGGTTTTCAATTGCAACAATAACCCTAGCAGCCATTTGAAGCTTTTCCCATGTCTTAGCCACGTTGATGATGTGAATTCCTATCCATAACCATTCCACACATTCATATTCTTAGACCTCAGTATTATAATTATGCTAGATTTCCACATGAATAATTATAATCAATAAAAATTCAATGTAAACGAAATTCCTCTTAATCCTTTTACCACAATGAAAACCCTAATCCTTAATTAGACATTCCCGATGAAAAAAAAAACATAAATTTCCAATCAAACCAATAAACACCATAAACTCAAATAAACCAAAATTGCTAAAACGTAAAAATTCCAAATTTTGAATGAACATAAAAACCCTAATCACTCAGCCAATTAATCATTAAAAAATTAAATTTACCAGCGAAAAAAATTCCATTTACAGATCTCCAATTATATTCAATAATTTCGTATCATTGAGATGCATTATATACCATCAAACAAAAAACATAAAACCCAGAAATCTAAACATAAAACCCAGAAATCCAAACAAAATTAAGAGAGAAAAAAGGATAAAATACCATCAGAACGGCGCTTGAAGACGTAACGCTCCATCTGGAAATCACAGTTCTTGGTGCCGAGATGAACATCGGCAGCTACCATCATCTGAATGTCAGATTCTTTCTGGGTTAATTGCTTCGCCGCCATTTTCGATTATGCTTGAGAAAGCTCGAAGCTTCAGTGAAGAGGAGAGAGGAGGAGAGAGAAGAGATGAGAAAATGAGAGTGATTCAGGCGAAGGCGGCCTTTGTTTGTTAATCTTAAAAAGAGGGCTTTGAAGTGGTAAACCCTAGGGTTTTTATATCATCACTACTTGACCCATTTTGGTTATTCGGGTCATTCCATTTATATTCGGGTCTTTAATTTTAGGGGTGAACAAAGAGGCCAAAGCAATTTGCCCAAAGATTATGAAATTTAAGTGTGTGGCCTTTTGATTTTTTTTTTTTTTTTTTTTTTTTGAAACAATCAAAAGCCGATTATATTAATTTATGGACATCGTGTGTCCATCAAAACATAAGGGGAAATCTCACAAGGATAATGATTAACCTACACTTGTTCATGACCAAATGAAATAATTCTAAGTGATGAGCAACAAAGTTCCCACCTCTTTTTACATGAGACCAAAAGACATAATCGAAGCTATGGGAGAGAGACATAATATTTTCAAGGATTGAATCAAGATCAGTCAAGTGTATAGATGCCTTAGAAAGCTTCGAGACAACAAAAAAATTATCAGACTCGGATGTTAAATATCACTTTTTTGAAGCCAAATCTACTAGCCAATTTTACAGCATGAACCAGGCTTTGCCTTGAATTTTTGCAACAAACTTGATGATTACTTTGTCATGTTAGCTTGACTCGGCACATAAAAAGTAGATTAATGTGATATATAGGTAAAGTGTGTTGCTTTGGGGGTCGATAGGTGTTTTGTGTTTGCACGAGCTTAAACCAACAGCATAGCACAAGCATGCAAATGACATAACCTAATAACGTTTATATCCCTTGTTTCAATTCACTTACAAAATTCAAGTAGTTATCATGTGAATTATCAACAACAACGAGAATCATCATACGTAATTATAGGTTAAATTGTTAATATAGCATGATATACACCAATGGATGGTAGTTGTTTTTGCATTTAGTGAGAGAAGTTGAGCAAATAGCTTGTATGATTCTTAATATAGTGATTAAACAATATAGACCGTGTAGAGAATTTCGTTTTGAGAGTCAAATTTTTAAATTTAAAACATAAATATGCTAAACCATGTATAAAATATTTCAAAAATTATGTGATAATGAAATAGTATTTTTGAATTTAGTATATGATTCTAGTTTGTGCTTAAAAAAGAGTATTTTTGTCTATCCAAAAATATAATCATTGTTGATAGATCATAATTTTAACTAGTTGTTTGTCTACTTCCAAGCACTAAAATCCTTTTGAATGTCCTCCCTAGTAATAAGAATATTAAAAAAAATAATAATAAATAAAAAAAAAATCTCATTAGTTTTATTGTATGGTATAAATAGTTGGGTCCTAAAACCAAGAAAAATCAAGCACATGACAATTGATCAATAGGCTAGATCCTAGATAAAAAAACAAGAAATCACATCTCTTTCTTCTAAGTAAATTATGGCATAAAAAGTCATAAGACAAATTGAATGAATCACGACAAGCCATGTTTAAGAATGAATTATTGAACGAATGGTAACACTAAAAATAAGTTTCAAAAGCTATTAGTACATGTAATAACCAAAATTTTTCATTTGGGACTAAGTTTGGCAAAAATACTAAGTTTGGTCTAAAATCAACACCCTTTCACTATTTCAACCATATATTAAGATCTAGAAATGATATTGGCTCGATTCTGATTGGGTTGGAAAGTAGACTTCCAGAGCTTTCCAACGATATATTATTTGTATTAATCTGAGTTTGAGATCAAAAGTTATGATAAAAACAAAAAACGCAAATAAACTGGAGAATTCTGGGGGGAAACGCCTAGAATTTTCGAATCTCATAGGGACTTTTGAAAATTCTAGGCGTTTTATCCCTAGATAGAGTTTTGAAAAAATTAGGCGTTTGGCCTCCACCCCAAAGAAAATGACTTTAATTCCGGCGATGTGTCCGATGACCTTGCCCTTGGTTGGTGGTGATTTGTTGGGAGGAGAGAATGTTAGATTGAGTTAGAGGCTAGGGAAGAAAAACATGGAATACACTCGAGAGTATGTTTGTCCATTCATGTTTAAATGTGAGCGTTACCTGGTAAAATAAGGGCGTCGTTTAGCTTGTCATTTTTTTAACAAAATGTACAAAGTAGTATTTTTTTTTTTGAAACCAATGTACAAAGTACTCCTAATTTTTTTTGGAAACATTGACAAGAATAATCCCAATTTTGCCTCATTCGCGTAAAATAATTCCAACTTTGGATTATTTTTTAATAATCCGAACCTTTACATGAATTTGTTTTCAATGGTCCCAACCGGCAATCTAACCTATTATAACAAATTATTTGACACGTATCAGCATATGATTTGGTAAAAAAATTAAAAATAAAAATTTAAATATTAAAAAATTAAAACAAATTTAAGATTTGTTTTCAGAAAAATAAAAAATAATTATTTAATTAAATTAAAACCACCATACCAGCGCCCTGCCCAGCCCAGATCGCCGCCCAACCCAGGTCTCCGTCCAGCCAGGCCGCCGTCCAGACCTCATTCCCGCGCCGACGACACCACCTCTTTTCCCTTCCCCCATCCCGACAGCCCCACCGATCCCTTCCTCGAATCCACTTCGCCAATTCTCCATCAACCAAAGAACCCACCCACAACCCTCAGTCTTCTTGCGAAACGCGACCCTTGTCGGAATCTTACTCAAACCCCCCATCCCTTTCCGATTTCGTGGTTGCAGAAGGGGGTTGTGAGTGGGAGTTAATTATTTGCAACAAGGGTTTGCGGGGAAAGCGAGAGGTTAGGGTTGCATTAAAGAGTCGCTGCGGTGATGGGGGACGCCCGGGAGGAGTTTAGGCGGCACAGGGGCGGGCGATGATCTGGGCTAGGCAGGCTAGGTTAGGGCGGGCGCGCGGTGGAGGTCGAGGGTAGGGAAGGTGGCTGGTGGTGGGTTTCTTAAAATAATTAGTTTTTAATTATTTTTCAAATTGTTAGTTTTAAAATAATTAGTTAATTATTAATTAGTGGGATGATTCTTGTCAACTTTTCCTTTTTTTTTTTTTTTTTTTCTAAGTAGCAGTATATAATTTCTTCTTGGTAACCCTAATTTCTAATTTTCATTAAAAAAAATTACTTTGACAATTATACCCTTTTCTAATTTTCGTATTTTCATCCGTTCTTCCTTCTTACCCCTTAACCTCAAACTACTACAGCAAACGCTGCTCTCCTCACTCACCCCAGGAAGTTGCTCACTGCCGTCCCGCCTCTGCTCAGCCGCGCACCGCAGTCCTGCACCCTCCGCCCTCCGTCAGTTCGTCCGATCGTCTAGTCGTCCACCTTTCAAATTCAGGTAATTCATTACTCATGTTTAAATTAGTTATTCTCCATGAGTTGTTGGGTTGATTTTGTGCTTAAATTAATTGTTTTTGTTATTTAATTTATCAAATTGGTGTTGCTTCAAATTGATGATTTGTTATATATTCTACACAATCAGGGTTTCAAATTCATGGGAAAGTTGTATAATTTGACATTTCTGATTTTTTAGTTAGAAATTGATACTTCGTATTATATTGGGCATTGTACTTGTATTTGGAGGCTGGAAAATAAGTTAATTTGGTATTGAACATGATTGTTCTATACTTATTGATAATTCATCACTTAAATTTTATGCAAGGGAGTGATGTTAGAGGTAGGAAGATTAAGTATTGGGTTATAATTTGAATGAGTTTAGCTTAAATATGGCAATTTTGCAGCAGTTTGATGTTTTTCTGGTTGAAATTTTCTTTGCTCATAAAGTGTTTGTTAAAATGTTAAATTAAACATTTTGATTTTTTTTTTTAATTTTTTTTTGTTTCTTTTCAATTTGTAATTGCACTTGTAATCCTAAAACTTTAATCTTTTCATCTATTTTAGGTGTGCTTATGGGGAATCCAAAGACCAAGAAAAATTCCCAAGGTAAACCAGAGGATGTAGGAAGCATCCAATCAGATGTTGCATCATTTGCGTCTTCTCTCGGTCTTGCATCTTCTCTGCCCTCGTCTGGCTTCAATGATTCTGATTTCAGACCCAAGAAAAAGAAACCCGAAGAAACAAAGAGTTCGTCTAAAACTAAAAGCCCCATGTCCCAAAAGCCACAAAACAAGAATCCCAATACACAAAAACCCCAAAATCAAAAGCACCAAAACAAGAATCTCAATGCCCAAAAACCTAATTTCAATAATGACCCGAAAAGTAGAAAATTTAACAAGAATGACAATGTTTCCGCTAATAATAATAATATTAGTAATAATTATCAGAAATCTTTTGACAAGTTTAAGAATCTCCCAAAACTTCCGTTGGTGAAAGCAAGTGCATTGGAGACATGGCATGTGGACCAAGGGGAACTGGAGGAGAAGGTGATGGGTGGAGCAGAGAAAAAGAGGGTGGAAATGGGAAATGCTGAGGAGTGGAAGAGTCTGGTGGCAAATAAGAAGGAACTTGGAGAGAGGTTATTGGCACAATATACTTTGGATTATGAGGCTTCTAGGGGTCAAAATGGAGATATAAAAATGCTTATTGCCACACAAAGGTCTGGAACTGCTACTGATAAGGTTTCGGCTTATTCGGTTTTAATTGGTGATAACCCGATTGCCAATATGCGAGCACTTGATGCACTTCTAGGTAATTTTTTTGTTCACTACATGCTGCCTTTATATACTGTATTAATTTCTTCTTTGAACTTTTTGCTCAGTAGTCATATTTGGATTTTTGGTAGTTTGGTGTGGTCCATTGAGTAGCATGATGCTTTCTTGCTTTATTTTTTTATAAGTATAAACTACATTTTCAAGGAGAATGGTGTTCTAATGCATTGTTGCTTCCAATTTTAACCGGTTCATATATACTGGTGTTTTTCTCCGTTGCAGCAATGGTGACATCGAAAGTTGGGAAGCGTCATGCACTTTCAGGCTTTGAAGCTCTTAAAGAGCTGTTTATACAAAGGTCTAAGTCTGTTCTTTGGTGTCCTGAATCTTCTTTAATTTCCAAATATGTCATACTTGATGGAGCTGCTCAACTAGAAAGTGGTTGATAATTGATTTTACATATAATCATGTTTTTGGAGTAATTCACAACCTTCAACCGTTCAACTTTATCAAAATTTTGAAGACCTGATCTGGACCCTTCTGAACTTTTTAGCCCTACTTTGTATTATGCGAACTTATTTAATTTCAAAGGGAAAATTAACTAAATGGCCCTTAGCTGAACTATTATGAACTTATCAGCTCTTATTCTAAATTTAATAGACCTGGAACCTTCTATTTTATGGTGAAATAAACAGGGCCTTAGATGATGTTATGAGGAATCAATGAAACATAAAATTCCATCTCATGGCTTGACCATAGAAAATAAATCACTTGAACGGAACAAGTTACTCTTGTTATAACTCAAATTAAGTTACTGTTAAATTGTTGTGATTTGTTATACAAAGTGGAACTGTTCACTCTTCTTTCTGCTCTAGAGGCTGTGCTTATTTGACAGAGGGGGTCCCAGATGATTGACTTCTGATCTTAGTAGAGAAGAGTTGGGATACCTCTGGCAGGCTTTTATAGTTTTATCCACAACCTGTTTCTTGGTTCTTTCTTTGATACTTGTATATTATCCCATTGGGCTCAATGTCACTTTCCCTTGACACATGCTTATAGATTGTTGTTTTTAACATGGGTATGGAATTGCCTTCATTTATGTCAAGCTTCTGAAATCATTTTAAGTCTTATATGCTCAATGTAGTTGAAAACTCTTTATGTTGCAGTCTGTTGCCTGATCGTAAGTTGAAGACCCTTATACAGAGGCCCCTCAGCCATATTCCTGAAACAAAAGATGGTTATTCTCTTCTGCTGTTCTGGTATTGGGAGGAATGCTTGAAGTCAAGGTATCTTGTCTATTGCTTAGTTATGATTGGTTTAGAGAAAATTTTAGATGATATATGTATAGTTTTAGTAAGATGAGAAAATTGGGACATGGTATACCTCAGTGATTTAACTGCTCTTCCATGGCCTAAACCTCAAACTCGAACAACTTGGCCTGAGCTTTAGCTCCTCTTATGACTTGTATCGTCATACATAGTCAATTCTACTCAACATATGTTCCTACTATAATGAATATGCAGCTGTAAAAATGTGTTGATTACAATATTGAATTGGTATATCTAGAAGTTGCTTATAACTTCTATAGATCACTATATTTCATTTTTTGTTTTAGATTACTTGAATGTTAATTTTTAATTATTCATAATTGACTTCCCTTTTTTTTTTTTTTGGGGGGGGGGGGATGGGAGGGATCCTCATTTTATTAGGATATATAATTACCAAGCTAAATTGAAAGATAACTCATGACTAAATACATATAACTATATAAGCTCTTATCATCAATCAAAACAACTTTAGGAAAATTACCATTATGTTTTAGGGCATTAATTTATAATGATTATCAGCGATAAACATGTTATCAAATTGACTTATTCTAGTTATCTAGTAGAATAAAAGACGGTCATCATTAGGGCTTGTTTGACATCGTTTTTTATTTTTAGTTTTCTGTTTTTTTGAAAAAAAAACCAAAAACAGGAAACAAGAAAAAGGTATTTCCACTTTTATATTGTCAGTTTTCAAAATTATCATGATTTTAATAAGTTTGACTAATTTTTTATTCATTGTATGACATATATCATATGATTTTTGAAAAACAAAAAACCAAAAAACAGAAAACCACTGTGATGCCAAACGAACCTTAATTAGCGATGGACTTATGGATCTATTATCTTATCCCCCCTCATCTTATGTTACCGCTATTCCTTTCATTGGTTTGTCATGCTAGGTATGAACGTTTTGTTGTTGCTCTTGAGGAGGCATCAAAAGACATGTTGCGTGTACTTAAAGACAAGGCATTGAAGGTCAGGGGTTTTAGTTGTTTCTGATTTTTTTTTTTTTAATTTTTTGTATCCGCGTTCTGTTATCTCCTATCACCTTTATTCCATTGGGACTCTTTACTATCAGATCATTGTTATCCAGATGTGTAGTATGTATAATCTCTATAATTTATTTGTTTTCTCTTATTTCATGTAGATAATGTATGCCCTGTTGCGGAGTAAATCAGAGCAAGAACGGAGGTTGCTAACTGCATTAGTCAACAAAGTAAGCCTGCAATAATATTATTTCTGATGAACCAAACTTCATTTCTCAATACTCATGTTGAGCTTAGAAGAACTATTATATACGAAGTATTTTTTTGACATCTTTTTCATTGATTTGATGATCTACAGCTAGGGGATCCTGACAGCAAGGCTGCATCAAATGCTGATTATTACTTGACTAACCTCTTGTCTGATCATCCAAACATGAAGGTAAAGCTGTTTATAATTTTTTTCTTACATGACTGGGCCTTGCTTCCCTTTTTCTATGAAAAGTGAATTTGCTGTTGGAAAAAGTATTGAGAACAAGCTTATCTTTGTTGTCCAAACTAAACAAACGTACAAGAAAATAGTTGGTAAGAACTTATTATATATATTTTAAATAAAGAGGAAAATACAAAAGGCTGAGAAAAGGATCATAGTCAAAGAAGAGTTGTTTATCGAGTCTCAAATGCTGAAGCCAGAACACCTAATGCGTACTTAGTACTTAAGTAGCTGTTCAGATAAAAACATTTCATGTAGTTTCTACTATTTTGCAATGCCCATGGTTCACCCTCTCCTTCCTTCCCCCTTTAACTTATCTCTTACTCGTGTTTCTATCATTTCTTATCTTAGGCCCGAGTGATTCTCTGCTTCCTATTTTGTGCTCTTATCATTTGATTGCTCTTAGAGGGTTTGATTTATCGCGTAATCTGCCTCTTCGTATTTGTAGCAGTAAGACTAAGGCCTCACAGATGTAACAGCCATACATATGTAATAAAACCCTTTCCCCACAGATTTCAGGCAGGACATCTAAGGCATAGGTTAATGGAAGGGGCGGGTACTATGGACTATGGTTGATGTTAAAATAGAATCCCAGTAAACCAACAATTTTGAAACTGCCAACCTGAAGTGTAGAGATATTGTATTTTTTATTCATATTTATGATTCTAGTACCATTAGCATGAGCAAATGACTTAAACTCATGTTCTCTAAATTGCATTTAGATTAGAGAAGATGTATTAGAAGATGGTTGTGAAAGTTGTGGCTTTAACACGCGTGGTCAATGGAGATGTTAATTTGAGTAAGCCTTGGTTCATCACCCAAAAACAGTGGGCCAATGTGGGTGTTTAATTTAGTATCACGTGTTTCTGATTCTGGCTAGCAAATCTCAGTTATTAAATGAGGACAAGTTTCTGCAGATCTATTGGTTAGCCTAATACTCTACTGGTGACAATATTTTTTTTAAACTGTTTCATGGTGTCAAGATGTCTGACAAGAATCTACATACTCGCAATTATCTACTTGTGTAGAAGTTCTACACTTCTTGAGACTTTTCTCTTGCATGTTTATGTATTGTTTAGGTCCATGAGATACTTAGTATGTAACTGAAATTGTTGTAATTGTGTTTGTAATTTACTTAATTGCTCATGCTATCTTTCAATTGACTTGTGAATTGCATCTTTTCTTTGCCTCACTAGATGCCTGAAAACTTATTTTCTCCTTGCAATTTCAGGCTGTGGTGATTGATGAAGTGGACTCATTTTTATTCCGCCCACACTTGGGGTTGCGTACCAAGTATCGTGCGGTATGTCTTCCACCTACTTGTTTGACTAAGTTTACCTGAAATCTAAACCTCTAGTGTGGTTTTTTTTTTTTTTTTTTTTTTTTTTTATTTTTTTTAACCATGATATCATAGAACATGAGCAGTCTGGTTTCTAATTTGTAATTTGAAGCTCTAAATAGTGAGGCTTTGGACTTACTAGATGTTAACACTTTAAAAATATGAATTGAGCTCTAAGTCTCTTGAGAATTGGTTGTACTATTTTTCCATTATGGGTCATTACCTTTATCAGTGCAAGTTATATTCAGCTAGAGGAGTTATAGCAGAAGAAGGAAGTTAATCTAATCCTTGTCTTCCCTTGTTTACAGGTTACTTTTCTGAGTAAAACCCGCCTAAGTCACAAGGGGGATGGGCCTAAGGTAGCAAAACGTTTGGTAGATGTGTACTTTGCACTATTTAAGGTAAACATTTGCTAACTATGTAATATTTTTCACCTTCTGCTATAGCAGTCTAGTTCCAATCTGCAAGATTGCACTTCTAAATGTTAATTATCTTGTAGTTCTTACTTAAATCCACCCCCCCACCCCCCAAAAAAAAAAAAAGCAAAAACAAAAAAAAACACTTCATGCTTTTATATTTATTAAATTGCGGATCTGGACTTTGAATTTCAGATACTGATCTCCGGGGCAGCAAATGGTCAAAAGAATGATGCAAGTAAAGAGACAAAAAAATCAACTAATGAGGACAATGAAGTGCATTCTTCAGATTCTCATGTGGAATTGGATTCACGGCTTTTATCTGTTCTTTTGACAGTAAGTATTTGAAAGAAATACCAGTGGCTGGCTACACAATGTTTACTTATATGTTTAAGCATTTTTATTATGGGCCTGCTTTCACTTTTTATTTCCCGGTATTTTGAGGGTCTATCTTATTCTTGAATCATTGAGTTAAAATTTCACTTGCAAGTCAGGAAAACATTGCTCATTAAACTGACTTCAATATTTTTATCATGTTTGTTGGGGGATATAAAATGCTGCAGGCTTCCCGCATTGGTTGTTCCCATGGTTGCAAACTGTGAAATTGATTGTTTCAGTGTCGATGCTTGAATGATGAGCATTTTCTGAGTAACTTATTGCACCTATTTCAGAGACTTTTAGGAGACTAAATATTACATATATCTTAGAGACTTGGAGTTCTTAATTGGTGGCTGGCATTGATATTCAGTTTATTCCTGGTTTGTGGAATTTGTGTCAATAGACCCACAGTTTTACTGTTCTCTGCTCAAGATCACAAATGCTTCTGCTTGATTATATCTTGTGTTTCTTTCTGTATCTAATTCTGGGAAGTTTTTGGACTTGCTCACTTGTTCACTAATGTCACACATTTTTTCTGCTCTTCTCAGGGAGTAAATAGGGCATTTCCATTTGTTTCTGGGGATGAAGTAGATGAAATTGTTGATGTCCAGACTCCAATGCTTTTCCGTCTCGTAAGTTCATAAATCCACTTATATGATATTTTAAAAATATCATTATCAATATATCATCTTGTGCTTGTCTTTTCATGATAGAAACATTTATAATTATGGTAGACTTTTAGCAATTTGAAATATTTGTGTCAAGAATTAAACATGTCACTACTTTGCAGGTTCATTCACAAAACTTCAATGTCAGTATCCAAGCATTAATGCTTCTGGATAAACTTTCTTCCAAGAATCAAGTTGTCAGTGATCGTTTTTATCGTGCTCTGTATGCAAAATTGTTACTTCCTGCAGCTCTTAATACCTCCAAGGTAGGTGGTCTCATACTTTTTTCTTAACTTTAATGCAAAACTGCTATTATACACCTGGATGGACCTAGAAGGATTGTCTTTTTTTTATCATATATGCCTCTGCAGCCTCGCTCTCTATTTAATTAACTTCTTGTGATCTGCTGTTTGAATGATGAGTAGAGACTACTGACAATTAACATCCGACTTTGAAAATTATCACGGGGCAAACAATTTTTGCAAATGTTAGGCAAAGTTCATTGGTCTGTAAATCAAGCAGAGTTTCCCTGTGGTATTGAGGTCTTCTATGATTTTGGTTAACTTTTGAACTGATAGCCTTGGTCTTTAGCTTGTCTTCTGAGTAGCCATGAGCTTCAGTTGGACATGATCTCACTCATTTATACTTTGGTTGAGCAGAAACCGAATTTTGTGAGCTGATTCGCTAAAAAGGGGAAAAAAAAACCCTTATGTAAGATGCCTTAGGTAGGCCATTTTGTTGAGAAAGGGAAATTTGCTTAGAGTGGACTGTGGTGGGATACAATTGCTAATTCAGTCTGGTTGCAGAGAATTTTACGCCTTTTTTAAGGTGTCAGTGAAATAATTTGGGGTTTAAGGGGAGGTGGAGGTAAAAAGTTTTCAAGAGAAGGCCTGGAGCTTTGCAGTGGCAAGGCTTATTGTATGAATTATGGTTTAAATTTTGTCATGGGCCCTTCTAAAGAATCTATTTAACTCATCAAGTTGTTTCAATAAATCAAAACTCTCAGTTTTTAGTGGAATCCTTGCTGTCTTGCTGTCAAATATTTGTTTTTCTGAAATCTCGAGTGCTTTCAAACACATCATCATAAGCCAAACCCAAGCTGGAAAATATGACCTAAATCCCAAGAAACTTCACAAGAACTTACATCCAATTGTAGTCAAAGACATGCTAAAGTTAAAAATTTCCTCGTAATACTGCATAAACTTCTTTTTTTAAAAAATAAAATAAAATTGTGGAGCTATGATCGTATTGGGTTGGGTTCAATTGGAAACAATCTAGTATAGACAATAGATGTGAGCTTCCGTAGGCATTGAGGAGATGCTGACAAACTCTAAAAAAGAAAATATTCAAGAGTAGTGAAAATGGAAACATGAGAATGGAAGAATGCAGCAGGCGATGATTAAATTGATTGTGAAAATCATTTTTAAGCTTTTTCAGTTTTTCAAAACCAACAATGCCTTTGAAACTGCGCTTGCCCTAGGAAGGGTTTTGGGAAGTTGGATGCATAAATCTTATCCCTAAAATAGCAAAGAGATTTCTTCAAGACCATTGATCCAAAGGCCACTGTGTGCTACTTTATGATGCTCATATGTAAGTAGTGCACAATTTAATGATACGACGAATTTCTTACTGCCAATGAAGATGGATAACTTTGTCTATGCATGTGCTTGCCAAATAGTGATGCCATAATGATTTGGGTGACGATACTTTTAGCAATGCATAGAGGTCTTGTTCCTCATAGTGCTCTTTGTGATTTTGAGATGTAGCCTTATATCTTATTTCGTTGTATCATCTCACAAGCATACTTATTGGATAGCCTCAGAATGTAGAAAACTTCATATAGTATTTATGTTACTCGAAGTGACTTTCTGTTTTTAATATGTATTACAGGCAGAAATGTTTATTGGACTACTACTAAGAGCTATGAAGAGTGATGTAAATTTAAAGCGTGTAGCTGCATTTTCAAAGCGTCTATTACAGGTTAGCTGTTAGTTTCACTGATTGTTTAATTTTTTCATTTGTCTCCTGTGAAGCTCCCTTTACGTTGAAACTTGAGTTTCTCCCACTCTGGTTCTGCTCAAAACCACATCCATATGGAGTTTCTCCAATACTCTTTCTCTCACTTTATCATCCTATGTCTGTTTGATGCGTTCAATGAATTTCTGAGTTGTGAGAGTCGCCTTGCACTGAATGCTTTTACTTGTCTGCTCAATAAGCAAAGGTTGATTCTTTTACTCCTCCTGCAGGTTTCACTTCAACAGCCACCTCAGTACGCTTGCGGATGCCTGTTTCTTCTCTCAGAAGTCCTCAAATCAAGGCCACCTATCTGGTAAGGATCAGATTTTGTGTCCTTATCCTGTTTTGTTTGTAGAATTTTGCATTTCTGAAGATCTAATTGAGATACTTGTGATGCAATCTGATGCAGGAATATGGCAATTCAAAACGAGGCAGTAGATGAAGACCTTGAACATTTTGAAGATGCTCCTGATGATACCGAAAATATACCTGGTACTGAAGCTAATTTGCCTAGCAGTAATGGTGGTGATGAACAGGGAAAGTCTGCCGAAAATGACATTGAAATGGACTCAGACCATGATTCCTCCGAAGACGAGGAAGTTTCTTTAGCATATTCTTCCGAAGATGTGTCAAATGAAGATGAAGATTTACTCATGAAAAAGAATGTTGAGAAACCCCAGGAATCTAGCTCTAGCAAGTTGTCTGAGAACAATGGAAACCAGCTTGAGTTCTTGACCAAGCAATTACTTCCTGGTGGATACGATCCTCGACATCGGGAGCCCTCTTTTTGGTATGTGTTTTGCAAATAATCTTATGCTTTTCTTACGCTTGCAATTATTGCTGGTGTATTCAATAACAATCTTTGTGATTGCTAGCAGTGAGCCAGTGAGTATTTCCGGTGTAGTTGAAAATGACAAGTACTTGTTACTTTGTTATGATGCTTTTTACTCTCTTTTTTTCTTTTTAATTATTGATTCATTGTCTTTCAATTCCATTCCTCCCACTATAATGCTGATGTAAACTTTTCTACAGCAATGCCGGCCATACTAGCTGGTGGGAGCTGACTGTACTGTCTTCTCACACTCACCCATCAGTTTCAACCATGGCGAGGACTCTTCTATCTGGAGCAACCATCGTCTACAATGGAAACCCATTGAATGATCTTGCTTTGACTGCTTTTCTGGACAAGTTCATGGAAAAGAAGCCTAAGCAAAGCACATGGCATGGTGGTTCTCAGATTGAACCTGCTAAGAAGGTCAGTGTTTTAAGTTGCACCTAAAACCTACTTTATCCTATTCTTGACTTGGTAGAGAGTTTGTTAGTTTTTTCATCACTTTTTTCATTTTTAGTTTAGCTACTTCATACTTTTCACTGAGTTTTAGTTTGCATTAATTTTTATGGAAGTTTGAGGTTTGGATGAAGTAGTGGTGAATTAATTGGTCTTCATTACTGATTATCGTGCAGCTCGACATGAACAAGCATGTAATTGGGCCTGAAATCCTTGCATTGGCTGAAGCCGACGTACCCCCAGAGGACGTAGTATTTCACAAGTTCTATGCAAACAAGATGACTGCTTCAACAAAACCGAAGAAGAAAAAGCAGAAGAAGGGGGCTGAAGAAGAGCAAGCAGCAGATTTATACGGTGGTGACGATAGTGACAATGACGAGATTGACAACTTACTGGATTCCAATGATCCTCCCTTGGAAGAAGATGGAGATTATGATTATGATGATTTAGACAGGATTGCCAATGAAGAAGATGATGATTTAATTGGTGATGTTAGTGAAAATGAGATGGACATGGACGATGGTGAAGCTGATGCCCATAGTTTGGACTCAGGTGATAGTGATGGTGTTAATGAAATAAGTGATTTAGACGATTTGAGTGATGATGATATCAAGATTGGTGACATGGACGATGTTAGTGATGATGAAGTTGGTCACGATGCACCTTTGTCGAAGAAGGGTAGGAAGAAGTCTTCAGCCTCTCCCTTTGCTAGCCTTGAAGAGTATGAGCATTTGCTGGATGGTGATGATTCAGGGGAGGAAAAATCAGACGAGGAAGATAAGGTCGAGAAGTCACCAAAGAAAAGAAAACATGCTCAGAGTGACGATAACAAGAAAGGTAGAAAAACAGAGAACAAGAGACACAAGAAAAAGAAGAGCAAAACCCATAAATAAGGTGCCAATTTTGATCTATTTAAAGCAATCTTGTAACTTTATCATATTAGATTTTTGAATTATTTGCCATGGGTATGAAAAATCAAATTTCAATTGAAAACCACCATCACAGCGGTAAAATTTTGTAACTTAAAGAGGTGAAATTACTGAAATTTCTGTAGGCTCAAAGTTCATCAATTGTATTAAAAAAAAATTAAAAAAAAAAAAAAAAGTTCATCAGTTGTTAAAGTAATTTTGTTCAAATATCAAGTTAATTTTAAGTTTTCACATTTTTTGGATTCTCAATTTCTTATGCATTTTTTTGTTCATATTAAAACTCAGAAGTAACACTCGTTGGTCATCATATTAATAAAACACACGAGTTATTAATTAGCACTTGGAAGACAGTAGATACTAATTACAATTTGCCTTTCATATGAAAATGGCATTTTAATTCTAGTTCAACAAAATGCCAAACACGCAACTGCTAACATTTGCCTGAGCCATAGTTGATCTAAACACACGGCAAAAGTTATTATTCTACCAGCTCCTACAAATCTAAAACTCCAAACTCATTACATCCTACTCGAATTCGTGCTGCTCTATGAAAATTTTAGGAGATAGCAACTTGAACAGTCTTAGGCTTAGAGGGTGGGATCTTCTGGACAGTGACAGTAAGAACTCCATTTTCGCATTTAGCCGAAATGGTAGAAGCATCAGCATCTTGAGGTAATCGGAACTTCCTCATCATCTTCTGCGGAAGACTTCTCTCGAGCTTGAGATATTTGCAACCTTCCTCTTCTCCATCTCCCCTCTTCCTCTTCCCATTTGCCTTGACCACTAGTATATTCTCATCCTCCAGTTGCACCTACATTACAAACATAACAACATCAGAACAATGCTTCGTAAATTGCAATAACGCCTCGAAAGTACTTTTCAACACGAATCGAATTTAACGATGTAGTTCGAGATCAGGGAGTACCTGAACATCAGACTTGGAGAGGCCGGGGACATCGACGTAGAAAACGTACTCCTTGGGGTTGGAAAGGATGTCAGCTAGAGGAGTAGTAGTCCTATCCTTAGCATTCATGTCTCCCTTTGTAAACTGGTTCAATATCTTAGACAAAAGGTCGTGATCATTCATCAAACTTCCAAAACCTCCCATTTCCTCAATTAGTGCCATAATTTCTGGTTACTCGAAAGAACCTGAAAAGCTGCTTCAAATTAAAAGTCACCACTTCAAAAATTAGCCAGCTTTTTCACTAAAATTTTAGTTAAATGTCATATAAGTTCGCTTAAATTTAATTTGACATTAGTATTTCAAATTACACTATCAACATGACAATAAAATTAATTATCGTAATTTTTCTTAATACAGCCTTATAACTGTACAAACAAATTACTAAGTTTGCCCCGAATACACATTATTAGTTCAATTCACACAATCAAAGCGACAATAGCTCACTAGGTAGAACCAATTGGTTATTGATGCAGTGGTGATTGAGACTACACTCGGTAAGGAAGACCGCGTGTTCGATCTCACGCAACAACAATCAGAAGGAGACTGGAACCTAACCACCTAAAACTGATCCCAAAATCCGGATTAGCCCAAAGGGTGAACCGGATGGAACAAAAAAAAAAAAAAAAAAAAAAATTTAGCTCACTAGGTACAAACAACAAAATCTCCAAAATCTATTACAAGTGTCTAGCACTATATAAACTGAAATAAATACTCCGTAACACAATTCAATTTTCAGCAATAACCCATTAAATAAAATTTAAAGCAGAGTACGAAACTCACTAAATACTCGAGAGACAAAAATCACAAGAACAAGTTCAGCTAAAAATAAAAGCATGATAATTATTTTTAACAATCAAACAATAATTAAGGTTTGATGATCATAAATTAATAAGATTAATGTTTGATTGAGAATAAAAGTGAAGAAATGATGGACTAACCTGTATGAGAAAGTTTGATTGAAATTGGTGTGGATAAAGTGAGATGCGCGTCAAAGAGTGAAGTTGAAGTGGAAATGGTGGAATTAAATAATTGGAAGAGAAAATTCTGGATATTTTTCCCAACATTTCTCCTTCTTTCTCGAAACATCTGGAACATTGTGGAGCTCATACGTGTCCCATGGAGTCTCGAGGTTTTGTTTTCCATATTACAATTTTATTTTATTTTTTTGGATTTAGAGTGAATTTGTACGGAATTTCATTATTTACTTGTAAAAAAAGAGGAAAGAGAAATAAATGGACCAATATAATCTAGCTAAATAGATTAATGTTGAATCCCGTCGCAAACCCCTTTTTTTTTTTTTATAATTTAAAGTTGAATTTGCATATTTGTCGAAACATAATTTTAACTATTAATATCTTGAATTAGAGATAAGTAAAAATTATGAAAAAAATGGATCTTGCTAACGAGCGTCCCGGGCGTTAGATAAGGAATAATTATATTGGTTAAAATAATATTAAGTTAGAAAAATATGATAAAATCACGTGTCGTTCGGTGTAATTAATGTTAATTTTATTCTAATATTTCTACTTTTAATTCTCTTATCTAACGCCTCAGGGACGCTCATTAGCTTTTGTCTAAAAAAATTTAATTTAGAAAAGTAGACATTATGACAAATCCAACAATATATTATGTGATCATATTTATATACTTTGTATTTTATATTGGTAAATTTTTTTTTTTTTTTTTTTTTGATAACATAATGAAATTCATAAAGAGTTGTACCTGGTAGTCGTTAAAAATCATATTCTATCCTACTCGGTATTCAATATAACCATAGTTAAGGCGCAATAAGTAAGAGTATTAGTTCCTTATAATTATATTTCGTATTCTGATGGAGTCACTTTTCAAATTCTGACGATCGATAATTGGATGCTAACAAAAAAATGCGTTTTGTCAAGTCGTGTAGGCAATTTTTCTTAAATCGAAACATTATGAATCATACATGACATTCATACTTTTATCAAAGTACGACTATTTATCATCTTATCTTTCTATCTGCTTTTAACTCATATTATCCTATCTTATTAAATTGAGAAATTATGAATCATACCTGACATGTTTTAAAACTACATCTAATACTTTCCTACACTTCATGCAATTTTGCATTGTTATTTTCATTACATTAAATACACATGCATTGAGCAAAATTAACATAAAAGAGGAACAAGAAGACATAATCAAGGGGTTGATAATTGATAAATTGACCATACGCAGAAGAAATTAAAATAGAAAACAGTAGGTTTTGATGAAGAGTGACTTGAGAATATCTTATTGGGTGTAGGCAATCCATGTGTAGAGAGATTGTGTCTCCTACCAAATTGAAAACTTTTATGCTAATCACCATCAACTTCATTCTAAAACATACCAACTTTATTCTACACCGTGCGGTATGGCTTAAGCATTGAGCTTCATGTGTGGACATAATGATATTCTGTATGTTAGGACACGGTCAAATAAGTATGTAGGGTTAGATTACGGTTGAATTATTTTAAATTCGATTTATGTCATTCGTGATAATATTTAAGGTATAAATCAGTCGATTTTGAAATTCTTGATGCCCAATTTTGGTTAAAATACTCTATCATGCCCCTCTTACATTAGAACCTATTAGAATGAGTAAAATTTAAACTACGATACCCTGTCATAGGATCAAATCAACCAAAAGTCAAAACTGATGTTATAGCTCATTATTGATTTATATGCACTCTATCGCATGATTGATTACATGGTCGTAGTTTATCAATTTGATTGGAATAGTTTTTGGGTCATTGGGGTCTAAAATGGGCCATGTCGAGTTTGACTCAAAACTCATTGAGTTGATGACCTATGGATAAACTCAAGTATCTAGTCTAGTTGCAAAACTTTGTTCAAACCTCATTTACTTTGATAGATTTTTTTTTTTTTTTTTGACAACCATTGATATTAGATTTTAAGTTGGGTCACTTGACATACTTAGTTAAGGTTGAAATATACGAATTAATTAATAATACTATCCTTTAATGAATTATTCAACTTATAATTCAAATGCCATTGATGAAAATGAAAACTAATTACAAGATTAGCAAACAAAGAAACCCAACATAGAAGTTGTAATTCCACATGCAAATATGCAATTTTTTTTTTTTTTTTTTGGTGAAGACATGCAAATATGCAATTTGACAATAAAATCTTTTTAGGGTACTAACTCTTTGGACCGGCATACTAGTGAACACTTGGTGGGCCGGGTGGTCGAAGAACAAAAGACTTTGGTAAAGCAAAACCCAACTCTACTCTGAATTTCTTGACCACCACCAAAATGCAAGTTGCAACCTCAATATAATTGTTAGATGTACGAGCACTTTCATTTGCTACATGATATATGATGCCATGATGGTACTCCCTCCGTTTTCTTTATAAGGTAAAGTTGGAATTTTACACTTATTATATGTCATCATTGACTTAATTTTTTTTACTAATATATAATAAATAAATATGATCATATAATATATTGTTGGATTTGTTATAATATCTACTTTTATAAATTAATTTTTACGTAATTTTTCCTAATCTCTAATTAAAGATATTAATGGTCAAAGTCGTGTCTCGACAAATGTGCAAATCCAACTCTAGCTTATGGAAAAAAAAAAACGGAGGGAGTAGTAATTAGTAAACCATTGTTTTGAGTGAGGAGGACTCTAATGAGATTTCGACCCATCACGAAAATTTTAGTACAATATTTACGAGTTAGACACTTGGTAGTGGGGAAGAGATAAGGGGATTTCCATTGTTTAACCATACTTGTAAGGTTGGTATGCCAATTCTAGCTTAACATAACCATTTCTTTGTACGTATTTATTTGTTGAATGCACAAGAGCATGTTTAATAATTTGTACATCGTACGCATATATTACTCAATTACATATTGATCAAGCATATTCAAAGGCTATGTTCTCATAAAGAATTGCCAAAGGCGGTAATTGGTTTCCTTTTTTTTTGGTGGTGAGACGGGAGGAACTCAGGGAAGGATGGAGGATAATTTGAGGATCATAAACGTACAACAATTCAATTTATGCATCTCTACATCTACAAACTAAGTTATACGACCTGCCCATCATTATTTGAAATGGAAATTTAGATAATAATTCGATCGCCTCTATTTTTTTTTTTTTTTTTTGAGACTATCATCGTCCAAACTAGATGGGCATTTAGAAATGGAGAGAGTATAACTTTAACATAAGCGGCTTTAGAACGTTATAAAGGGGCAAAAGACCTTAAGTAAACTCAATTATGATGAAATTCTTACCATAATTTGAGACTCGATTACTAAAGATTCCTTAGGTAGCAACTAGACTAGCAAGAGTAGCAACGATGGACCTAACACCTAATCACATGGTTGTGATAGACCAAAAATAACTGCTTGGATGGTTATATACACCTACCTTTTAGCATTTCCACAATTTTATATAATTTTAATATATACCGATTTCTTAGTATTGACAGAAAACTGTATTATTTTCTCTTGACTAATTAGTCTAGATATTCAAAACCACTAGGAATCCAATCATTTAGATTTGCGACCTTCAGGCATCACCTGCGTTCTGACTATTATATCATTATCTCCTATGTTAATACGTGCAACAATTTAACCTTTTGCATCGTTCATATAATACGTTATTAACTTTAATAAAATTCCATTATTAGAATTTAAATAACAAATGTCACTAATTTAAATTAATGGGTTAATCTCAATGCATAATTTCACAATTAATTTTTTTATTTTATAACCTTATCTAATATATAACTATGTATTTGAACATTTTAAAAATGTACATTAGTAAATGTAAAAATCAAAATATAGCAAAGATTGAGATGAAATAGCATTATTGGATGTACAATACTCACTCGTATCATGTATGTGGTTATATATTATACGAGTAAATCTATTGATACGGTTATACAATAAAAATTGTCACGATCAATCGGTCATAAATAAAAACCTAGTTCGTGGCTATCAAACTCGAGTGCATACGTAGACGACGGGGTGTGACCACTAGCAAAGTAGCAAACATTCAAGTAGCAAACATCAAGTGATGGGGAGAGTAAAGAAGAAAGAGCCATTAGAGAAGAATGTAGTTGTACACTTGTACTGTCTGATCATGTCTTGACTCACTCTTCAAGTCGTTATAAAGCCCTCAAGATCAGTCATCACCTTTGCAAATTAACGGAGTACAGATAAACAGTGATAAATTGAGAGATTGAGATGTTACATGCGATAATGTTGTGGATATTTTCCATCACCATGCATTAGAAAGAAACAGTGTAGATCATTCTAACGTAGGATTATTATTGGCTATATGTTTAAGAAGAGAATTGAATGAGCTGAGAGAGGGCTCCCCGAATATTCACTTCATGCATTATGTGATTTGTGACATTTGTCACACGTTACAAGTTTGCGGGGATGAAAATCCACTGTACCACTTTGTACGTGCCTCAGGTCGTAACATGATATTGATTTTGATTGGTTGTTTTATTAAGTGTAAAATTATGTGGTGGGATATGCCGTGTGGCTGTTATCTACTAATAAAATTGAGTGGCATATATATTAGTGGGAATTAAGCTTTGATAAAGTTAATTATTTTCTCATTGAATATAATTGCTTATGTAACGTGTTTGACCGTTTGAGAAACCCGAATTTAACAAAGAATTTTAGAGAACGAAATTGTACATATATGATTGAGTAATTCTTCCTTTTATTATGTCTACTTTTTGGAAAGATATGTCGTGTACGTAAAAAAAATAAAAAATAAAATAAAATAAAAAAGAGTAAAACTCAGTATATGTATAGGCACGTATCATTTAGTTTTTAATTTAAGTCATAAAAACTATATGAAAAATAAGCAAACCATAATCTAAATTGATAATGCACTATATTCCATATGTTTTCGTTATGAAAAATTTATAAGTTTTTATTTACATTTCTATAAATTATTAGCTTAATTTAAATGGTTCTCTTCAAAAATGAAAAATTACCTATGGCCTATATATTCTCATATCATACTTGTATTTATTTCAATACTTGTACATCTGTATCAATAACATTTGGACCGTACAACTTAAATGATTCTTAAAAGAAAATTTTATATAATCAAATGAATCAGATTAATTATTTATACTACATATCAAAAAAGAGGTAGAATAATCATAATCATTTAATCTGTTGAATACAATTTTATTTATTAGCTAGTTTGCTCCCCCTTTTTCAATTTGGATAGAGCCCATATATAGAGGGCAGGGGGAAACAGTATAATGTCATTCAATGTCATGTGGTTGAGAAACATGATGAATAATTAGTAATACTAATTACTTTATATGTTAATTATTATGTGGATTAGTATCTTACTTTAAGTAAGGTTCTATATGTACTTATTTGTTCTAAACAATCACATAATAATGTCGCTTTAGTTTACCCTATATATAGTAACAACTCTCGATGTGCATCGACATCAATAGTCAAATTGAATGTACAATTTAAACGGATTAACATGACTATTATATCCAAACAAAGATTGTAGCTTGTGGCTCAATTTACTCGAATTAGGCATGTTGATGATGGATGATCACATAAACAAAGGCCTTAAAATTTGTAATTATATGTCATTTGACATAATACATTTGCGTCTCTTTGACACTTTAATAACTATTGATGCAATTATATTTTGCTTGCCAATGCGTCTCAAAGTAAGGTACAAGGTTTTGAAGCAAAATTATAAAGTTACTTAATTTGTACGTTTTTTGCACACCTATTGCTTGTCATTATGGAGCTAAATCTATCGGTATTAAGCATAATTTTGTATGAATCAGGTAATCTTCTGATTAATCATCCATAACTTTTTTTTTGTTTTTTTTTTTTTTAACATGCAAGGAGATTAGTTTTGCAATGTTGTGTATCACAAATTTGTAGCTATATAAAGCGCATTGTAAGTTTGTGACGCCAGGAATTGTCGCATCAGGGACAACTAGCAGGAGCACAATTTTTTTTGGTTTTCATCTGTATATTGAATTGACTTGAAGTATCATTTCTTGCATGTTACGATGATTAAGCTCACATCAAGAAAACGTACACTTGATGATAAATCATTTAGTAGAAGATTGATACTTGTAAATCATATTCACATTGAATAAAAAGGAATAATACTAATACAAAGAAGTACATAGTATATATATATATTTCGTTGATTAATTATGATGGGTTACTCCGATCCACCTTTTAATTATTGTTTTAAGATAAAACTATCCGGCTCTCCTCCAACACAAACTTCTATACATGTCAATTAAAGAATTATTACAAAATTTGACCAAAGTTTTTTTTTTTTTCTCATTATTATTTTGAGAAGAAGATGATCAACATATATGTGATATATGACTCCAAATACCAAAAGTCCAAAACATGTTTATCTTTTTCAAAGTAAAGATTTCCTAATTAATTCATGTAATAAGACGATCTTACAAGCAAGGTAAGACCACCGATGACCACGACTTTAGCATATTCTTCATAACCAATAATTATAATAACTAATAGGGCAAAATTGATAAATAAAAGGAAAAAAAAAGTTTTAAAAAGAATTTACAATTAGCATAATGCTGGTTTTTAATCTTTTCTTAATTACATACTTAGAGTCTTAGACTATTTATATTGTTAGTGACTTTCTTTATTAATTATCATCAAATCATCATTTTAATAGTCTAAGAATTATCAATCGTTCTTTACTAGTCACAATACTTATATATACTTCGTATATTATTTGTTAATTATTAAATGTGTTGTTGTCATGTGACCTCAGTTGAATACCCGACCTTAAACCGTCATACAAAGAGTACGTAACATAGAAATTAACGTGAATAGTTTTTTGTGGAGAGGTTGACCCATCGATGATTGTTTGAGTTGATTGTAACCAAATATCTAAAATAAAAGAAGTGCATGGTATATATGGAAGGGAAAATATGGGGTGTACCACAGCCAGCTAGGTGTACCGTATGTTAGTAATTCCATTGATGGGATCAGATCATGAGAAAGACAGATAGATGCATCACTACCATGAATTTATAATTGTACATTTTTTTGCTTTCTTACGTTTGACTTATTTATCTTAAAGTTATAAGGTCGTTTTCACTTAATTACACTTTTTCTCTTTTACAAAATTAATATTATAAAGAAAAACAATAATGCATGGCCAACTAAGGTTTTGAAGATTGAGTATCTAACTTAAGATTGGTGGACTGTATTAAGGATCTGACCTTGGTATCAAATTGATCCATGATGATTAGTTTCTTGTTATTGCGAATTAATAATAATAATATTAACACAAATTCTTATATGTAACTAGTTAATAATAATAATAATAATAATAATAATAATAATAATAATAATAATAATAATAATAATAATAATAATAATAATAATAATAATAATAATAATGTTAGTGTTATCTAGCTGTTGAGAATGATGTATAAGATCCTGTAAATAAGTTAAATAGATATATGAACATGGGAATATGATTGTTTTATTAAATAATGTAAAAAAAATAGAACAATTCTAATTATTTGAGTAAGAATGATAAATGAGATCCTGTAAGTAAGTTTTATACAAATATGAACATGGGAATGTGATTGTTCTTTTAAATAATGTTAAAATTTAGAGCAACTTTAATTATTTTAAATGATGTGATTTACTTGTATTTCGTAGCTTCCTATCCACCACAAAACTTGATTAATAAAACTTATTACAACGAAACTTTAATTTCAGCCAAGCAATATAATTAATCTTAGATGCAATATGCAAATTCCAAATCCATTCCAATGACTTAGTAGAATAACAAATAATAGATCAGCATTATGACGAACCAAATGTACCCCAATTAATAGGGCACGCAATCAGGCATTGGTATTAAGACAATGAAATTCCTTGTATATATGCACATTTTAGACGTTAAAGGAATATGCCTTAAGCGAAACAATGGTCATTATTAGTGCATGTACTTTCGAGGTTCCTTAGTTCTTCCCAAATACTAAGTTAGTGTTTTATTCATCTTATTTTCACTTATTTTAGGAAAAATCAATTATGATAAGAGTTGCTAAGTTTAAATAAGTAATCATATGATAAAAATTACTCTTTTTTATTTATTTAATTACAACTAATATAAGCTCTAATAAGTATAGATTCATTGAAATAATAAGTCCAAGTAATAAATTATGATAAGTTATCCTCAAAAAAAATATACGAGTAAAATTATGATAAGTTCAATAAAGTTCATTTGAGTTCAGATAAATTCATATTAATGATAAAGTAAATAAAAACGCACCATAAGAAAATTGAATAAAATTTGTAAATTTTGTAAGCAAGTCATTAGGATTAAATTTTGAGAAAAGAGCTAAGATACAATGAATATGCTTATAAACAATTAACCTAGTTATTTTCAAGATTCAATTAATTTGGTTATATATTTCAAAACATCTCATCTATATACTCACATTCTCAAACCCTATCCCTCAATTCAGCTTAATTAGGTTATAAATTTGATTCCAATCAGCATCGAATCATGGATTTTAGTACCACACCCACAAAATATGGATCATGTACAATACATTGCATATGATTATATGAACTGTGAAGTAACATACTACTGTCAATTTCTTTCCTAACTAGAATTTATTCTTAGACGAGATCGTTTCACACTTTCACATCCATTTATCACAACAAGATAACCAAAAGAGTAACAAATTACGCCTAAAACAATAAAAACAAGTATCATAAATCATAATCCCCTCAAAGATTTAGCCCAACAAGTACCAGCTGGGTGTATCCTGTAGGTCCCCCCTTAAGTATCCAGCTAAAATCCCAACACACATCCCTTTATTGGGTCCACATTTTCATATTCAACAAATAATAATAAAAAAAAAATTATAAAATAATAAATAAATAAAATTAAAAAATTCACATTCTATATATACCCATCTACAACTTTACTTCTTCTTACATTCTCATTTTCACACAATTCTCATATTCCAACTTCCTCTATTCTCTCCATACATTCTCTGATCCCCGCTCTCCAAAATATCAGAAACGGCCCTTAAGAACATGGCAAAAGCAGGAAAGCTAACTAAGCTAAGGTCAGCATTGAAGAAGATGAACTCATTTAGTAAGCTGCGACGCGATAGCAGCGTAAACTCTACACCCGCACCCTCCGATGACTGCCACGTGTCATCAACCCACAATATTGGTGGTGGGCTTCACACAGTGTACGTTGGCAAGTCACTCAGACGTTACCACGTCACATCTGAGGTGCTTGATCATCCGGTGATCCAAGAGCTTGTTGATAGATCGGACGGCTGTGATGAAGAGACCATAGTAATTGGTTGTGAGGTCGTTTTATTTGAACATTTGTTATGGATGTTGCAAAATATTGACACAAAATCTGAGTCTCTAGAAGATTTGGTTGGCTTATATGCTTATTAATTATATTTTCATCATTTTTTTTATATTTTTTGAGGGAAAAAAAATCCCATTTATTTAAAAATGGGTTTTTTTTGGGGGGTAAGTAGGGGTTTAGAATGTATATTATGCTTTATTTATTTGATTATTCTTGCTTAAAGAATTTTTTTTTTTTTTTTTATTAGAGATTAAAAAGCTTTAGGCAGGATAGAAAAAATTAGAAAAAAGAAAAATAAAATAAGAAAATCCAGAAGAATTTTGGATTTTTTTCCTACTAGAGTGATTAAAAGATTATTATTGTATTGCTACCATATTGTATGCATTATTATTAGTGGTATCCAATATTGATTAATTGGAGTATTTTCATATCATTTTTGTAATTCAATTCATTGCCTTATTTGATTTGTATTAACCATTTTTTGGAAATTGATGGGTGTATAAACAATCTCCTACATGTGTAGTAGCCGCCTTTCTAACACAAATATACAATGCAGAATTTATTTAATTTCATATAATATTAATATTTCCACTTACATATAACAAACATTTTCTCTTGTCAAAAAAAAAAAAAAAAAAAAAAAAATATGTTTACTTGGTTATCCAAATATGGCTTTAGTATAAAGTTTGCTTGTCTTGGGAGATTTGACATGCATTGTACTACGTAATTCATTGGATCAGTACATATGATTGTAATCGAGGACGGTTGCCTCACCTTAAGGAGCAAAACTACCATAATTTTCGAATTTACTCCTAGTCTTAAGTAATAATGTTTCACATGGCATGCAATTTGTGGAAGAAGATTTACTTTGATAATGTGAAAGGACTTTTTAATCAAAGTTACTTAAACACCTCAAATTCCAGCTCTCGGCCTTTCTTCTGTTGTATGCGTTCAAGTTATTTTGATAAATTTGTCGATTTACATTTTTTAGCGTTCTTCAAAATACATACGTATTATAAATAAAATGAGAATTTGTTGTAAGGTAAAATTATCGAAAAAAGATCTATAATAATTTACTTGTTTTCTAAATGTTAGCCGATGTTTTTGAATTTCTTAAATACACCTTTAAGTACAGATAAAGAGAATATCCTATATATTTAGATAATTCGTCTTCTCAAGGTTCAAGTAGCCCAGGTTACTTTATTGAGCAAACTTGGCATAATGGTACGGAATAAGTGGTTGACGTCAAGATTTAAAATTAATGGGATCCAATAAGGGGATCTTCGGGAGTAAGAACATCTCTTACTCTTCCCCCTCACCGGTTTCTAATGAATTTGGCTTACAATTCTAGTCGATTTACATTGACTTGTCAGAACTTTGAACTACGTACCAATTCAATAGGGTCCAACAACTTAACATGTCAAATTGAAGCACAAATTAAATTAGCTAGATTTAGCACAAGAATGGAAATGATAGACAGAACAAAGCAAGAGCAGCTAGCTAGCAAGCTAGATGGCTGGGATATTAGCTAGCTCATTCGACCACTTCCTTGAGTAAGGACCAAAAAACATAGGACCACTTACGTTACTCTCTCTTTCTTTCGATCATTATCAAAATAGGCATATTCACATATAGTTGCATGTGGTCTATTTTGTAAGTCACAGTCACCATCATTTAAGTTTGTGACACCAAAATAAAATTGTGATTTATATGCTTGCATACAACTACATATGTTGGCCCCCTTTTTCTAAAGTCTAAATAGCAAACTTTCACACTTTCACGATGATCCTAACAATAACACCTACACCGATACTATTAATATGAAGTACTTTATTTACTTAGCTTGTCTTTAAGTAAAGTTGTACTTCTTTACATGTCACTATTTATATTGTTCACATTTTGTACAGTAAATGTTATTTCTATCTCCCTACATAACACATGAAATCTGGAGAGTGTCGTCACTTCATTGGTTGTACCACACTTTGTTGTAATTACCAAGTGAGCATAATTTCATATAAATAATCACGTTTCTACTCCTCCTGAAAAACTCTCCTTATTAGACTTAATTAGCTTGAAGCTATGTTAGCATCATAGATTCATGAACTTTGAATTGGTGTTAGAAAATTAATACTGTAAAGCTAAGAGTTTTTTAAAAATGTATATCTATATTTCCATTTGTCATTAGTTCACCAATTTCGATCGTACGAAATTAAGCAAGGGATATAATCGGAACTTTTATCCATTAAAATTACTTCAATTAAGACAATGTATACATAAACATAGGAATTCGATCACTCAGATTAGAAGCATACAAGTCTGCACCTAATAAATGCTCAAGTAAGGGATGAAAGAAGCATTTGCTATAGGATCACGAAACCATCAGACATCCTAATCTAATTTATGGTGTGCCCACCAATTACAGAAAGAATTCAGACTATTCTAAATATGATGATTTAAAATAAATACCCAATCTTATTTATGATGTGCCCACCAATTAAAGAAATGCAGACTTTTGCATTGTAAGGGTAGATTATTTACAGGAAAAAAAATATATAAAATAAATAAATAAATAAATAAAAGAAAATCCCTAATAAAAGCTCACAACTAATATATACTAGCAGGTTAATTATATTGTCCCTCCTAATTTAAATGTATTTTAAACTTTAAACAAATTAATTTGAATGAGTACGCCTAAAAGAAAACAACAACATGTGAGTTGTAAACATTTGTTCCACATTTAAAAAGTTGAAAGAGTGATCACTAACATACAAAATATGAGATTATTTATCGATTGGTTTTGTAATGAGACCTTATTAATCGGTAGTTGTATAACGTACAAGTCAAATGTACTATAATACTTCGTTAAAATAACCTAATAAACTAGCTTGTATGTACTATGTATTTCCTCCCTCACATTCCGATCATGCTCGACTTGTTATGGCTACCTTTGACCACCACGTACGGCAAAGGTCGGTCCTCACGAGCACTCATCTCTCCCGGATGTGACCAAATCTCTCATTACCCTCAAGCGCCAGGGTATTTTTGTCATTTTACTTAGCTCACTTTACACATTATTGTTTTCACAACACCAACTTTCCTTGCATGGAAGATAACGAAACCATAAATATCAAGATAAGACTAGCTTACGCATTATTGCTACCAATAGCCAAGCATCAACATCATATAAATCATAAAAAGTGGAGCTAAAACAAAAAATAAAAAATAATAATTGCAAAGTATTATTATATCCCACACCATAGCATGAATTATGAATAGTGGGGTTTACAAACAAACAAAGGCCACCATGCAAGCTGGTAGGCACGTACGATGGTGAGGACGTTTTGATTACGGATACATTTTCATTAATTCCAAAATTAACAGCCTGTACTTATCAATCATATATATATGACCATATAATAATTTTTTTTTTATTACAATAAAATATATAAATAATATAATATATGAATAATATGAATTTTTTTTAATTTTTTTTCATATAATTTCACCTAGGTAAATCATGAATCTGTGGTCTAAAATAATACGGCCAAGGGTCTGACCGTGGTCCAATGAACCTAGTACCAAAATTTTAATTATTGTCTGACCTACCAAATTTGGAGACCTGAAAGAATATAAATAATGTAATTAATTAACAACGAAAATAACAAACCAAAAAACAGGAAGTTTGGACATGAAATTGTAGTGTTCCTCGACAAATGGCAAATGATTTAATTGCCTGTTGAAGTTTTGAATGGATCTGGGAATAAAAAGTGGGGGATTTTAGTGGTTGAGTATGTATGTCTTATGTCTAGTGTGTGTGGTACATAATGAGAGATGAGATGAGAATGATTCCTTAGAATTTAATTGCTTTCATGGGTTAACTTTTGTACGTAAACAAGCACTCTCCGTTCTTTGTCTTCAAATAAAAGTCTGAGTGGTTGAATTTTAGTATGTATACAAAAATAATTTATATGAAACTGATTTGAGTTATATACTTTTTATGTGAGATCACTTTGTTCGACTTTAATTTGTGGTTTTGGTATAATGATTTGATTATTGTCTTGGCAAATTATTATAGAATGTATGATTAAGTTGTAAATTTTGATTTGTTTCTTGTTATGGTGTAGAAAAATAACACCAAGTACACTCTTAGACCCTAAAATACTGCCTCACTTTTCTTTCGATCTAGACCATCCTTAGGTTATTGCAATATACCATACGACTATCTAGTGTTTTGTTAATATTCATGGCATGTCTTCTAGTTCAATCTCTTCTACCCTTCTCTACTTCGATTATCACTTCCCCAAAAAAATTAAATATACCTACACGCTCAATACTACTATTAGTGAAGTGAAAAAATGAGTAAGGATCGTCCTTAATGATGTGCACGGACAAAATGTATGTTACTCCCTTTTTTTCAGATTAATTGTCATATTTGTTTGATTTTACTATTTATATACTAATTTTAATTAAGCGTAATTTTTCAATAGTGTATTAAAACAAATCTTATCATAAAATATGTTATTAGATAAGAGCAAGAATAGCTTTAAAACTAATGGTGACATCATCAATTCTAATTTTGTGGTCTTAAGATAAGACTTTATTTTTTTTATGCATTTATGAAGTTTGGTCTTAACAAAATCTGAAGTGGAGTCTTGAAAATTCAAGACTCAACTTAAGAAGCTTAAGACTCAATTTAACACTCAATTAACCTTTTTATTATTATTATTTTTAAAAAAATGTTAATAATTTGATTTTTATATAAAAAAAAAAAAAGCCTGAAGGATGAAGAGATAAATCTGGTCGAGTCTTAAGGAGTCTTCACATAATTATAAATATAAAAAAAAAAATTAAATTTGATAATAACTGATGTGTCAATGGATTAAAGTCTTAAAATAAGACTGCGCTAATATTGCTCTAAGTATTAATATAAACTATTTTAATTTTTTTTTACTAATATTGATTAATTATATGTATTTATAGTCAAACTAGCTAGTGTATCTATATGCGTGTCAAGTTAAATGTGCCAGTTATTCTGAAAAAAGGGAGTACTATAGCAAAATCTTGGAGGCAAGTGAGCCATGCATTT